CAAGTGCGCTTGTTTGGCAAATATGTATAGCGTGTTGGTTTCTTATTATTATTACCTATGAACTACGTGTATCTATTACTTGGGTCAAGTCGATTCGCCTTCTTGTCGTGTCGCCACTAATCACGCATGCAAACCGTCAGTGATACAAGATTCAAAGTAGCCAGGGGGAGACAAAAAAAAGCATGAATGGTCGATCCGTCTATCGGTAATCAATAGATACTCAAATGCAAAGGTTTTGGGCGTTGCGTGAAACTTGCAATCAGAGTTTACTTCACGCCAGCCGTGATAGAAATCTATTCAGAAGATGTTGCTAAAGGGTGATTCCCCCATATATCATGACGCGAATACGGTATCAGCACGGTACGCTGTGTAATTTTACAAAAAAAAAAGCAAAAACATAGTTTTCTATACGACTAAAACCTGTAACTAGATCGCTAGATACAATTATTGCTTACCGAATAATCAATCATGGATGCCTAAACGTTAAAAAACATAAAAATTAAGCAATACTGATTATGCAATCGTTTACTATTTTAATACAGTATATCTATTACGTTTAATGTAGTGTGTTCTAATCATGGGAGCGAAACAGACAAATTGACATATGTGTCAACTTTTTTTTTTTACTAATCTCACTCCTCTCTACTTACGTCGAATGAAATGAAGATTTTAATATAAATTTATTATCAGAGTGTTCATTAGTAAGAATCTATGGTTTAAGAGTCTAACAGTTGGGTACGCGTACTTTATAAAAGCTGAAAATGCTGATTACAGTAGTTCTCAGGGCGCACCTAGATAATTTGCTAGTTTTGTAACATATACTATTTTCAGCAAAACTGGATCACATATTTTTACGTTAACAAAACAACGTCACGTAAGTGGCAACATACCTGTTGTCACATCGTGTCACCATTGATCGCCGACCTCGACTGCATAGGGTTTCACGAACAAGGTTATAATAGGCAAGAGCAAATTTTACCGTCTCATAAAACACAACTATAAAATACATTGCTACGTATATATATTTCGTGCCGAGTTTTGCATGTCCACTCTAATAAAAAAAGGTAATTTTTTTCTCTTACGATCTTGTCTCCGGTAGCGAATTCGAACGTACGTGACGGATGTAGGCTCCGAACGCAGAAAAAAAAATGAAGAACACGTTTTTTTGTCGTGTCGGATCGGCGAATGTCGGAGAATCAGCGCAAGGTAGAATAAACACAACGGTCACAGAAAAGTAACTGACAGCAGAACAGCTTGAAAAATAACTCAGATAACAGAGCTTTTAAGCGCTCACCATTAGAGTTATTTGGTGTATGGTCTCATTATAATCAAATGACTAATTATTTCACAAAACAAAGTTTCCCAGAGTACTTGGCATCTTCAAAATGTATCTGGTTATTGTTCCCATATGTTATAACCATTTCGCTATTACTTTTTTTTTGCTATAATTTTTATTATTACTATTTATTACTTTTCTTGTATTTTTGATATTTCAATTTTATTAAATATGTTACAAAATACACCCAATAACTAAATGCAGCATTGATATCTTCGGCTAGCGATTCCCCTAAATTAGTAGCACATAAAAGTAGATGGTAATTTAGAAAAACGGAGATAATTCGATCATACATTTTCCTTTAGCCTTTGATTGTGTTTTTTTTTATTTAATCAATCCATGCTGATCAATACATTTGTTATAGCATTGTCGTGAAAAAATGTCCCCACACTTTGTAACTCAATCGTACTTTTCATACATGTTGTTTCGATCAGCCCCTCTATGTTCGCCCACCTTCGTATTTTTGTGAGGGAAATCGTGCATAAATCATACTTTGTTATATTTAGAAACCACTCACATACAAGGCCCAAAAATGGTTCTATGCGAAATGATATAGACTTCCCGATAGACCTCGAATGTGGATCGAGAAATGACTACTTTCGTAGCTAATGGCAATGGGAATGATAAATGTTAGGGGAATATGGGATAACTGCTCAGTTATTCGAGATAACTAAAAAGACGACGATGGTCTATCTAAATGAGCAGAACTTCATAATGACGTTACCAGAAAAATGTAATTGATACAATGAAGCAACCTGGCAGAAAAGGAATGAAAGTATGGTACTGGAACCACGGTGAATCCAAATTGACTCGAAGCCTGAACGTGCTCGGCCGTTCGAAGTTGAGGCAGACAAAATTCGAGACGGAAAACATGAATGAGTAGATGCGCGCGGAAAAAATCATAGAAAAACAATTACGTAGACCCCAACTATTACAAATTGTGCGTTTGAAAATATCTTTCACCTGAGATAAATCATGCAATAACAATGGTAATTTAGTTTTGACATATTTAGGCTCTGTTTCATTCAGACCTACTGGTTATTGTTGACTAGCGATAAGTTAGATGAAAAGTGTTTTAAGTTGAATATTCCAATTCCACTTCTTGCCATGACCGATTCGACTACTAAGCTATCTAACAACACCAAATTAACTTACAATTAGGATGATTGGCTTTTTGATAGTTGGAGAAAAAGAGACAAGAAATTGTGTGTACATTGAATCTCCTCTCGATTCAAAACTTGATTCCGATTCTTCGGTGGTCAGAAAACGTCGAAGAGATATCGTTTATAACCGAGATAATTGAATTTACTGAATATGTACGGTAAAGGAGTCGTGTCCAGAGTAGCTATAGTAGGCAGCGTGATTTGAAAAGCAATAGTTACCTTGTAGTTCAGCAAATTTTAACTTCATTTGTAATAACTTTCGTAACAATAACTTCAGCGGTGCTCTATCCTTCCTTATTAGATTTACAAGATTGTCACCAACGTTATGTGTTACGCACAGCAAATCCGTGCGACGAAGTAGGTGCATTAGGTGATTATCAAGTTTTTGTTTTTGAATGGCCAGTCTGTTGCTTGAACGTGTTAAAACCTAGCGAAAGCACTAAGCTCATTTGCCTTCAGTAACTGCTCAAAGTGGAGGGAACTTGAACGATATTAGTACTTAAATCGGTGAAAAGAAAAACTTGCATTAGATTTTACAACCAGTGAAAAGATAAAAAAAATTATAACTAAACTAAATTTTCTACCCTAAGGTATTCCGCTAGCAAAGTGATATTTCTTCGATTGCAAGTTACACGTATTGTCAAAAACGGGTTAAAAATGAGAAATTTTAATGAAAATTTTATTCGTCGTAATTTTATTCTACGCCCGACCAAAGCATATATAATTAAGTCTGTATCCGGTCAGCAGAATTACGATCCGAAAGAGGCGCGTGTAACACATTTCGTTAATAATAAACGTCACTCGTATCAGTCTATGTAGATATTCCGAAAGAGACCTGACTGAAATGCGATTTTAACAAAATAAAACTTCCAGTTCAACTCTATGCCAGATAAGTTTGGAATCCAACGTCAAAAGAAATTTTTATTAGAAGTACAAGGTGTCTTCATAATAAGGTATGTACAATTCATTGAATTGCGGCAATTACGATTTGGATCGGGCATTCTAATATTTAGGATTGATCTCGATCTTCATATTATTGACTTCCGTGCATTACGGAAGCCAGTAACTGGACTGCAATAGATGAACGCAAAAATTCTTGAAGACGCAGTAAAAAAAAATGGCAACGCAAATGTCAAGCTTACAGCTACCGAAATCACCGAGAGGGCTCGTTTTCATACGCAATTAATCAGGGAAGCATCAGGCTAAAAATCTTTGGGAACTTTTACTACAACGACCTGCTATAATGATCTTTTCAATAATGTTCAACCGCCTTTCGCAGCTTCAATAAAATAATGTATAGATAGTTAAAAAATATAGAGTATATGCTACATGGTTATCTGATGAGCGTATGGAAATGACCAGGCGAACTATAAAATATTTATTATTACCGAGATCACCCACTCGGACCTGCACAGTACCTAGGCCTATTACTTACTCTATAACAGTACTGCAGTTTAACCGACACTAGTAGAAGATTTTAGGCCAGGACCCAGCTTTTTTCAAGCCTCTGCTAGAACTGAAGATACATAAAAGAAAAAAGTAAAAGATCATACCAATGTTGTGCAAGACGGTATCCAAATCTATCACCGTTTCGTCTACAAGATGACTAGATTTGTAAATCGCTAAAAACCTAATGATGAAAAAGTGATGGGAGTTCACTCAGTGTCGGTGATTAGAATTATAGTACCTCCAAGCTGTGTCCCAACCCCGCCCGTTTTTTGACCGATAAGATGCACTCGTCAAATTCTGAACTACGTGTAAGGTTTACAAAATTTTCCTGACAAAAATGCAAATAAATAATATGCGAATGGAATCACTGTGTTTATACTTTTCGATTACGCTTTCTTAGCATGTTCTTTCTTATTATCCCATTATAGTTACACTGTACTGATAGTGCATGCCGTGTTCCTTTGTACACTGCTGGTAGCAGCGGATGTGCTTTTGCGTGCTCTTGTTTATTCTTTGAATTAGGTCTATTAAACGCCATTCAATAGTTTTTTTCTTAAAAATATACATGAGTCGGAAGGGGCGGAGATCATCTACTGGCTAATATGCATATGCCTTGATACTCAGGAAATAGTTCCGCCACCTTTAAAGAGCAAGTCGTGGTGTCAACCGCAAACAACAGTGCACCCTACGAGATCGTCTAAAATATAACAGTGGTGGGCTGAACGATTGCTACTGCGACAGGAACCAAATCAACAGGCCTTCGTTTATCTCATAAAAGCTATATATTTATTTAGTAACCCAAATATACCCGTCTTGGCTTACTTGCATCATTGCCCTTTGCTTTTGCTAAAAAGTAAAGGGCAATGATGCAACTGCCCAATGCATTGCCCATTGCAGTTCTCTAAACGTTTGGCATATATTGCGCTTATTCAGTGCACTTCGTTGTTTGTTCATTCGTAACTTCGCGCCAAATAAGGAGTTCACCATGGCCCGTTCCGCTATTCCGAAACTACTGGCAGCATCGCTGTTGGTACGAAAGCCGCCATTGTTGTTGACATTGGACGAAATGTCTGTTACGCTATAAAGTCCGTGGTGTTTCGTTTTTGAAGTGTTCATCTTGAAGGTAAGAACTGCATGTGACATAAGTTTTTTTTCCAAGTGAATGCAAAAAATAAGATGAAATGATCCTCTGTAACGATTATATGCATTCGGTGCTAATTGGCGCTGTGTCAACCTACGGTGTTAGACAGAGTGTACTGGTTTGTACCTTGCTTGCTCGGATTAAGCGCGTGTATTTCACTTGCTGCTGTTAGCTTATGGCCAACTGGCGTTAACAAATGGAATTTTTACGAAGAAAAATTCAAGTAAGAAAATGGGAGCTCATTGCTTAAATATGATTGAAATTAAAAAGCATATAAAAATATTTTCTTCTTAAGTTATATCCGCCATTTTTTTCAAGATGATTATTAACATCTCTTTGAGCGATGTTTGATGCATTATAAACAAGATCTTCACAACATGCCTTAGATTTGCTTCGCTTCGTAGAATATGTCCGAAGGCCACACTACTTCATAATATCCTTATTCACAACAAGTAGTTCCTATGCGGCTTAAAGAAAATATTTGTTTCTATTTTCTGCAGGAGTTTTTGATTAACCGTGATCGTTTTTTTTTGACGCTAGGGACGTACAAATTAAAGTAAATGCAGCATATTTTATTTTTTTTTTGCTATTATATATTTTACTTTCATATTGGCGTTCAATATTTTATTTATCGTTCAATGTCGTAACAAGTTTGCCAGAAAAAGCAATACCACTTTATTCAAAAGATTAGGAATCTGATCTCATATGTTTCTTTAGAGTGTCTGTTCACTATGTTTCCCGTTTTTTCAAATTCCTCGTGACATCAAAAGCGCAACGTTAAAGACAACAACGGAAAGAAAACATTGCTCGATAGGCTGTGCTTCAAGCGTAGGGCAGCGCCCAAGTGTAGAAGATGACGGGTCTCCCTCCGTTCCTGCCCCCTTTGGGCGCACCGGACCCATTCGTCATGGCGATAGCAATGCAAGCCCAGGCCGCGCAGGCGAACCAGGCACAGCAGCATCACCTAGCCGCGCAAATCGCTCAACAACAGCAGACGGGTGGCGGTCCCCCTGGAGTATCTCCAACCGCTGCGGGTCACATCCCACCACCCCCAGGTGCCACACATATGCCTCCACCACCACCTCATGGCCATATGCCCCCGCCACCAGGACACATCATACCGCCGCCACCTCCAGGCCCTATGGCACCTCCTCCTCCTCCCGGGCATATGGCACCACCACCGCCGCCCCCAGGAGGTAATCACATGCCACCCCTACCGAGCGGACCACCTGGTGGACCTTCGCTGCTCTCGTCTCAGCAGTTTGTTCCACCGCAGCACCAGCAGCTTAGTGATGCAAAACTACAGGAAAAAGGTATAACAGCAACGACAGTGCGGATTTTGAGATGTATGTATTTATACGTTTATCGTTGTTATTGTTCTAATATTGAAGTTGTCAATGGATTACTGGTTGAAGACGCTTAAAGTATAAATAGCTTCCTAATTAGCTAGCTAGATTTATCAAGTTAATTATTAACAGCACCTTTGCGCGGAGAGCTGGGCAGCTTGCTTTTGCCAATAAATATGATGGTTATGAAAAGCTTAACATATTAATTAGTTTAGTATTTTGATAATTTGTAGCCCGCAAATGGCAACAGCTGCAGTCGAAACGATACTCAGAAAAGAGAAAATTCGGTTTTGTCGACGCGCAGAAAGAAGATATGCCGCCCGAGCATTTGAGAAAGATTATGCGTGATCACGGAGATATGACTTCAAGGAAATTTCGTCACGACAAACGAGTCTACCTCGGCGCTCTCAAATATATGCCTCATGCGGTGCTGAAGCTGCTTGAGAATATGCCAATGCCTTGGGAACAGATTCGGGATGTTAATGTTCTGTATCATATTACGGGTGCCATTACATTCGTGAACGAGATTCCGTGGGTTATTGAGCCAGCTTACATCGCTCAATGGGGGTACGTTTTGTTAGTGCTAGTTTTTGTGCCTTTTATAAGATATGTCATTTTTCTAAAATCTGTCACACGACAGAACACTTTGCTACTTTGACAAACAGTTCTTTCGCAAATGAAAGGTAAATTTACCTGTTATAAGTATCTAACCTAACTGCGAGCATGGCATCGTCATTTCATTAGTAGCTCAGTAGTCAAAGGACACTTGATGGCACTTAGTAATAAAAGGCTCTCCTTTGTTGCCCTTTGTATTTTAGCACCATGTGGTTGATGATGCGTCGTGAAAAACGAGATCGGCGACACTTTAAGCGAATGCGTTTTCCACCGTTTGACGATGAAGAACCACCTTTAGATTATGCCGACAATGTACTTGATGTTGAGCCTCTAGAAGCCGTACAAATGGATCTGGGGACCGAAGAGGTTTGTTATCAAATATCTGATCAAACGTAACACCATGCCATGGAAAATTAACAAAAGTTAGACACTTAAAGATAATTCTCTACGCATTGCCTTTTTCAAATACACATTTGTTACTTTATGTTTATGTATAGAAAACAATTGTACAAATTCATCTTCGGAAGATTCACATTTTTCTTGAATCTGACCGAGTAATTTGCCGAGTCATCAATTTTTCGGCAAAATATTTATAAATAAAAGGTTAGAAATTTGAAGATGCTTATCTAAGGATTGTTTTCGTGCATCGCGAAGAACAAGAGCACTAACACTTAAAGCAAATGCGTAAATATTTCGTTCGTAAAAATATAATAATGCAAAAAAATTGTAGAAGCTTATATACTTTTCTTTCTATTAGGCTACATCAATTTGAAGACGTAATTTCCTTATCCAAATTTTAGCGAAATGTACAACATATGGAAGCAAAATTTTAATCATTGAAGATTTTTTCTTATATATATATTCTTATCTAGACAAATGTGTGTTTCAGGATGCTCCAGTAGCATCCTGGTTCTACGAGCATCGACCGCTTGTCGACGAAGCTGCACACGTGAATGGGTCTACATATCGTAGGTGGACGCTGTCACTACCTCAAATGGCGGCGTTGTACCGACTTGCTAATCCATTGTTGACAGATCTTGTCGACGATAATTACTTTTATCTGTTCGACCTTCGAAGCTTCTTCACAGCGAAGGCCTTGAATATGGCAATTCCTGGAGGACCTAAATTTGAGCCGCTTGTCAAAGACATCAATCCCGCGTAAATAGCTCACTTAGTATTCACGATTTTTCATTTGATATATACGTATATTCAATTAGAGGCGCCTGAAAGCACAAGAAGTTATATTACATATGCAATTGAACTACTGCCTTATGATTACCAAACATGACAAATTACGTGTCAGTTTTAAGGCATTCGATCATTATTGGGTGCCTATTGTAACTTGTTTCAATTGTATTGTAAAAAGTGTAAAGCAGTGTTAACGAATAAGCTTTCTTCTTATAAAACTTCGCTCATTTTTCTTACAGTGATGAGGATTGGAACGAGTTTAACGATATAAACAAGATTATTATTCGACAACCTATCCGAACAGAATATCGAATTGCGTTTCCATTTCTATACAATAACGTGCCCAATTCGCACGTTCATCTGTCGTGGTATCATACGCCAAGTGTGGTGTTCATCAAAACCGAAGATCCTGATCTTCCAGCCTTTTATTACGATCCTCTGATTAATCCAATTGCGCACCGACATAACGCAACTGCGAAGATTCCTGCAATGGACGAGCTGCTGCCAGAAGACGACGATGAGTTCGAACTACCGCAAGGAGTTCAACCGTTTCTGCAGGATTGCCCGCTCTATACGGACAACACTGCTAATGGCATCGCTCTTCTATGGGCACCGAGGCCGTTTAATTTGCGGTCAGATCGTACAAAGCGTGCATTGGATGTACCCCTTGTTAAGAGTTGGTACAGAGAGCATTGTCCACCTAATATGCCGGTCAAAGTGCGTGTCTCGTATCAGAAGTTGCTGAAGTATTATGTACTTAATGCATTGCACCAGCGACCACCAAAGCCACAGAAAAAACGCTACTTATTCCGCTCATTTAAAGCTACAAAATTTTTCCAGTCAACGACCATCGACTGGGTCGAGGCAGGATTGCAAGTATGTCGGCAGGGCTACAATATGCTGAATCTTCTCATTCACCGAAAGAACCTGAATTATCTTCACCTTGACTATAATTTTAACCTGAAGCCAGTGAAGACTCTAACGACAAAGGAGCGTAAGAAGTCCCGATTCGGTAATGCATTCCATCTTTGCCGTGAGATCCTGCGGCTGACAAAGCTAATTGTTGATTCGCACGTCCAATATCGTCTGAACAACGTCGATGCGTTCCAGCTTGCCGACGGCCTTCAGTATATTTTCGCTCACGTGGGGCAACTCACCGGTATGTACCGGTACAAGTACAAGCTGATGCGACAAATTCGCATGTGCAAGGATTTAAAGCATCTGATTTATTACCGTTTCAACACTGGAACCGTGGCCAAAGGTCCGGGTTGCGGTTTCTGGGCACCAGGATGGCGTGTCTGGTTGTTTTTCCTGCGAGGAATCACTCCGTTACTCGAACGCTGGCTTGGCAATCTTCTATCAAGGCAATTTGAAGGACGTCATTCAAAAGGCGTAGCCAAAACCGGTGAGTTCATTAAACTCATACTAGCGCAAAAATTATATGCTCGTCACATTTGCTACACTGTCTGTGATAAATGAAAGGCTGAAGCTGCGTTCCTGAAAATCATTCCAAGTTTGTTCATTAAAGCACACAAGAAGAATAGGCAGTTGCTTTATTAATATCGAAGGTTTCACCAATAAGATTTAACAGCTCTCTCCTCACGTAGCTCTCTTAGCTGTAGTAAAAAACTAGTAACAATGGAGTAGCAACGCGTTTCGATTTTAGTTACCAAGCAACGTGTGGAGTCGCACTTCGATCTCGAGCTACGCGCCTCCGTCATGCATGACATCATCGACATGATGCCAGAAGGCATTAAGCAAAACAAAGCCCGTACGATCCTGCAACATCTAAGCGAGGCGTGGCGCTGTTGGAAGGCCAATATTCCATGGAAGGTTCCCGGCTTGCCTATCCCGATCGAGAACATGATTTTGCGGTATGTGAAGATGAAGGCTGATTGGTGGACGAACACTGCTCATTACAATCGCGAGCGTATCCGACGCGGCGCGACCGTCGACAAGACCGTCTGTAAAAAAAATCTGGGTCGACTGACGCGTTTATACTTAAAAGCGGAACAGGAACGCCAACATAATTACCTTAAGGACGGTCCATACATCTCGGACGAGGAGGCCGTTGCTATCTATACGACGACTGTGCATTGGCTTGAAAGTCGTCGATTTTCGCCTGTACCCTTTCCTCCGCTATCGTATAAGCATGACACGAAGTTGCTGATTTTGGCTCTCGAACGACTCAAGGAAGTGTATTCGGTTAAAAGTCGCCTCAATCAAAGCCAGAGAGAGGAGCTTGGCCTCATTGAGCAGGCCTACGACAATCCCCACGAAGCGCTATCACGCATCAAGCGTCACCTACTCACCCAGAGAGCGTTTAAGGAGGTGAACATTTTTCAATATTTTACCTACCATTGCTAAGACCTGATGCTTGCTAGAAAAAATATATTGCACAAGCTGCTCTCATAGCAATCAAGTGTTTCTCTCATTCAGCCGTTTAATTGAAGCGTCGTGTTTTAACTCTCTTCAAGCGTTTTTGATCAGATAATCTGCGAAGTGTGTTCAATGATGAATTGCTTTGCGAAGCCTTCCCTTCGGGCGGTCGAGGCGTCAACTAAATGACACTACTTACTTGCCCTGGACTGGTCCATACGTTCCCTTGTATGCGGTTTGAGCATAGTAGAATGCCTGAGTGCGAATGGTTTGTTTTATTTTCGCATGAGACATATAGCACCAATGAAGACAAGAATTAATTCGAAGCTGTTTTCCGACGTCTGGTTTGAATTCCATAACTTTGCGTGACGCCTGTTTGTTAAGAATTCATTAGTATTATTTATTATCTTAGAATAACTTCCAAGTTTTCTTTCGCACATGTTTGTCTTTTTTCTCTTAATATATAGTTTTTGCACTGTCTTCCTTGTCCTTCCTCCAAGGTCAAAATTACGTTCGCGATATTGAGATTTTGCTTAGATTTTTTGGTTTTCGCTATTGTAACTTCCTTCAGACGCCACACTTTGGTGGTACAATCGACCAGACCTGTCGTGAGCTCATGAAGGTATCAAGTTTTCAATCTAAGGTGCTGTCTCATGTGACATTTCAACAGACACTCGATTGCTGTGAGGAGTCAAAGGCGAATGCGAACACTGCAGGCGTTTCACAAGCGTGAAACGTTCATAGGGTTCGAATGGTCAAGTGGCCGGGAGAGTGACAACTAAATGATTTGGTGTAGCATTTCTGAGAACACATAGCGTGCACTATGCACCGCAAGAAATAAAAAACTTAATTTTTGGCTACATTTAGCAAAATCTTTAACATTAGTTCGCAACTAGTCCTTACTTCTTAATTAAGAAAAAATAAACAAAAAAACAAACTTATAGGTTATGCAATATGTTCGTAGGAATCCTGGTTGTCCCGTTATAACTTTAGCGTTTTTTTTGTTTCACGGCTTTACTATTACAGGTTGGCATCGAATTCATGGACCTTTATAGCCATCTCATTCCAGTCCATGAGGTCGAGCCGCTTGAAAAGATTACGGATGCATATCTAGATCAATATATGTGGTACGAGGCTGACAAGCGACGGTTGTTTCCACCATGGATCAAACCGGCCGACTCGGAGCCACCACCTCTGCTTGTGTACAAGTGGTGCCAGGGGATCAACAACCTACAGGACGTATGGGAAACGGGTGAAGGCGAATGTGCGGTAATGATGGAATCCCGCTTTGAGAAACTTTACGAAAAGATGGATCTAACATTGCTCAATCGACTGCTGCGTCTTATTGTTGATCATAACATCGCCGACTATATGACAGCCAAAAACAACGTGGTTATAAACTACAAGGATATGAATCATACGAATTCATATGGTATCCTTCGTGGTCTTCAGTTCTCGTCATTTATTGTACAGTACTATGGCTTAGTGCTCGATCTATTGTTGCTGGGCTTGCAGCGTGCCTCGGAAATGGCAGGACCCCCACAGATGCCGAACGATTTTCTGTCGTTCCAAGATGTACCGACAGAAACCGGGCATCCGATTCGCCTCTATTCACGTTATATCGATCGAGTGCACGTTTTCTTTAGATTCACCGCCGATGAGGCGCGCGATTTAATCCAAAGATATCTTACAGAGCATCCTGACCCGAATAATGAAAACATAGTTGGGTATAACAATAAGAAATGTTGGCCCCGCGACTCTCGTATGCGTCTTATGAAGCATGACGTGAATCTTGGCAGAGCCGTATTTTGGGATATCAAGAATCGTTTGCCACGCTCAGTAACAACAGTCCAGTGGGATGCAAGCTTCGTTTCTGTGTATTCAAAGGATAATCCTAACCTCTTGTTCAATATGTGTGGGTTTGAATGCCGAATCCTGCCGAAATGTCGGATGTCGCATGACGAGGTAAATATTTTATTTAAATTATTCGTCATTTTTGCCGTACATATTGAAGATGGCTCGGCCAGAAAAGTAATGATAAAATGATGATGAATCAATAATAAATGCTTTAAACAAGAGCCGATATAAGATATATCTAATAATCCAAGCTAGGTAAGTTCTCCTGGCCATGAACAGGTTTATAGATTATTTATAGCTGCAATTGTATATTGGTGACGTTATAGTTAACTCACAAGGACGGGGTGTGGAATTTACAAAATGAGGTAACAAAAGAGCGTACAGCCCAGTGTTTTCTACGTGTGGATGACGAATCGCTGGCAAAGTTCCACAACCGTGTGCGACAAATTCTGATGGCGTCAGGTTCAACAACGTTTACGAAAATAGTCAATAAATGGAATACTGCCCTCATTGGTTAGTTGCCATCTAAATGTATTATTGCAATGTACGATATCGGCTAAATTATGCGGCGATAACAATGTTCCAATCTACTCATAGGCCTTAGGCCTAATTAGAAGTAAATTGTAGGGCCATAAAATCTCTGTTCATATACGTATGTGTATCAGTTAGTGAATAATATATTCAGAAACTTCAGTTGCTTTGCAAATGTTAATGTAATCTCAATGCACAGTCATTTCAGCGTTATGAATAACATTGTTTCAGCGAAACTAAAGTAGAAGACAGTCATCTAGTTATTATTTTGATACAACGCATTGTTTTAATTCCCGTTGACTAACATGGAGTGTTGTCGATATTGTCTCACAGGCCTGATGACCTATTACCGCGAAGCCGTGGTGAATACCCAAGAGCTTCTAGATCTCTTGGTAAAGTGCGAGAACAAAATTCAGACTCGAATCAAAATTGGCCTGAACTCAAAGATGCCATCGCGTTTTCCACCGGTGGTATTCTATACTCCAAAAGAGCTCGGTGGTTTAGGCATGCTGTCAATGGGTCATGTACTCATCCCACAGAGCGATCTGAGGTGGAGCAAGCAGACTGACCTCGGAATTACGCATTTCAGGTCAGGTATGTCACATGACGAGGATCAAGTTATTCCTAACTTATATCGTTACATTCAGCCGTGGGAAAGCGAGTTCGTAGACTCGCAACGTGTGTGGGCAGAGTACGCTCTCAAGCGACAGGAAGCATTAGCACAGAACCGTCGGTTAACTCTCGAAGATCTCGAGGACTCATGGGATCGCGGCATCCCGCGTATTAATACGTTGTTCCAAAAAGACCGTCACACCCTCGCTTATGATAAGGGCTGGCGTGTACGAACGGACTTTAAACAGTATCAAGTCCTGAAGCAGAATCCGTTCTGGTGGACGCATCAACGCCACGACGGCAAACTGTGGAACCTTAACAACTACCGGACGGATATGATTCAGGCGCTCGGAGGCGTGGAGGGAATCCTCGAGCACACTTTGTTTAAGGGCACCTATTTCCCAACTTGGGAGGGTCTATTCTGGGAGAAAGCGTCAGGTTTCGAAGAAAGTATGAAGTACAAGAAACTCACAAATGCTCAGCGATCTGGTCTCAACCAGATTCCTAATCGACGTTTTACACTGTGGTGGTCACCGACTATCAACCGCGCTAATGTTTACGTCGGTTTCCAAGTGCAGCTTGACTTGACAGGCATATTCATGCACGGAAAAATTCCAACGCTTAAAATATCATTAATTCAAATCTTCCGTGCCCATCTGTGGCAGAAAATTCATGAGTCGATTGTCATGGATTTATGTCAAGTGTTCGACCAAGAGTTGGACGCTCTTGAAATCGAGACTGTTCAGAAGGAGACGATTCATCCTCGAAAAAGCTACAAAATGAACTCGTCGTGTGCGGACATTCTCCTATTCGCCACCTACAAGTGGAATGTCTCTCGACCAAGTCTGCTAGCAGACAGCAAAGACACGATGGATGGCACTACCACGCAAAAGTTCTGGATCGATATTCAGCTTCGATGGGGCGACTATGACTCGCACGACATCGAGCGTTACGCCCGTGCAAAATTCCTGGATTATACTACGGATAACATGTCTATCTACCCGTCTCCCACCGGTGTGCTTGTCGCTGTCGATTTAGCCTACAATCTGCACTCGGCTTTTGGCAACTGGTTCCCAGGGTCGAAGCCATTGATTCAGCAGGCACTAGCGAAGATCATGAAGGCAAATCCCGCGCTGTATGTCCTTCGTGAACGGATCCGCAAGGGCCTTCAGCTCTATTCCTCGGAGCCTACCGAGCCGTACCTTAGCTCGCAAAACTACGGCGAACTCTTCAGCAACCAGATAATTTGGTTCGTCGATGATACGAACGTGTATCGTGTCACAATCCACAAAACGTTTGAAGGTAACCTGACGACGAAGCCCATTAATGGTGCGATTTTCATCTTCAACCCACGTACGGGCCAGCTTTTCCTAAAGGTTATCCACACGTCAGTGTGGGCCGGACAAAAGCGTCTTGGTCAGCTGGCTAAATGGAAGACGGCCGAAGAGGTAGCCGCATTGATTCGTTCGCTGCCTGTAGAAGAACAGCCTAAACAAATTATCGTCACAAGAAAGGGTATGCTTGACCCTCTTGAGGTCCACTTGCTTGACTTCCCTAACATAGTGATCAAGGGTTCAGAGCTACAATTGCCATTCCAGGCATGCCTCAAAGTCGAGAAATTCGGCGATCTTATTCTCAAGGCGCAGGAGCCGCAAATGGTATTATTCAATTTGTATGATGACTGGCTTAAATCTATCTCGTCGTATACGGCCTTTTCACGACTCATTCTCATCTTGCGTGCTTTGCACGTCAACAATGAGCGGACAAAGGTCGTGCTGAAGCCAGACAAAACGACGATCACGGAGCCCCATCACATCTGGCCCACATTAACGGACGAGGAATGGATCAACGTGGAACTCAAACTGAAAGAACTCATCTTGGCTGACTACGGCAAGAAGAACAATGTAAACGTTGCTTCACTAACCCAGTCCGAGGTCCGAGACATTATTCTCGGTATGGAAATCTCTGCACCGTCAGCCCAGAGACAACAAATCGCCGAAATTGAAAAGCAGACCAAAGAGCAGTCGCAGCTTACGGCCACGACTACCAAGACAGTCAATAAGCATGGAGATGAGATTATTACATCAACGACTAGCAACTACGAGACAATGACATTCGCCTCACGCACTGAATGGCGGGTGAGTATCCAATTATTTTAATAATTTGGGTATCCCTTTTAGGTGCATTCAAATTGTGTAAAAATTTTAGCATGCTGGTTGGAGTAACAAGCATGCATTCATCCGTTGAAGCCACTTCTCTTTAGAATCAAATAAGAAATCCTCGATGGCGGAAAATGCGTCGTTTTTCGATTTCATGTAAAAGCCAGCTATTATCCAACTTCCCACATTGGACCAATTCATTTTAAAATAAGAACGCATTGCTCGAAATCGACGGTCTATGTCAGTGTCGCCTTACATTGGCTGCTAAAAAATCCAAGAAAAGATTCAAGGAGCGATCCTCAAGTGAAGATCCTCAGTAGGGTCTAGGAAAAATTCATCATTTTAATACTTCTAGATTAAGAGAAAAGAAATATCGATTGCTACTTGGGTTGTCCAAATAACATCCAACAGTTCTTTTTGTACTTTTTTTGTACCTTTTGCATTTTTGGAGCATTTGGGCTGTTATCAACGCAAAATGTAATTCCGTTGAAATTATTATTTTCAGCGAATTACATCTGCCTGTTTCGCTTGATGCGTAGCTTCCATTGAAATTAAAAAAAATATTAATGATGACTAGTTAGTGGGCCTATTAAATAAGCATGACCATTAGAAATGATGCTTTTAGCTATTAGCGCATACAAAATAATTTGTTAAAGTTTTTAATTTAAACGAGTCATTATATGCATGTATACACACATATATATATATATATATATATATATATATATATATATATATATATATATAGTAGTGCAAACAGAGCAGGTATTACATGTTAAGATTTAACAAATCGTAATTTCATAAGAAAACTTTTTCTTTTTTTTTTAGCAAACGCAACCACTGTATTATGAGCGTTTGTCTATTTTAGATACGGTTAAACCAATAATGAGTAAGCATCATCTAAAGGTGTTCGCTGCTCCCGTTTTAGATCTTGTCAGGTTACTATCAATTACCATCATGTTTTTGACTCTTGCTAATGGATGTGGACAAGAGTTCCTTCGGCGTGCGCAAGATTTAGCGCGCCGAATTTTAGTCTGTCCTATATAAATGGGGCTTTTCACCTAAGCAGGCTCTGGTGTTCAATGGCTTCTGCGGCCGGCGAATGTCATTAATAGCCTGACTGGTTTTGCGGGCCGCGACATTGCTTAGTAAGGACCTGTAAGTTAGCTCAGTAATGAACACAACAATTACGTCAAACTCAGTTGCAATTGTCTTCTTTGCCGTTTACAGGTACGTGCGATATCCGCCACGAATTTGCATCTTCGAACTAATCACATATATGTTTCGTCCGATGACATCAAGGAGGCGGGCTACACCTATATTCTGCCGAAAAACGTACTCAAAAAGTTTATAATAATCTCAGATCTGCGGACGCAAATTGCTGCTTATTTGTACGGTGTTTCCCCGCCAGATAATCCCCAGGTAGATTGACCTGACAACACTTTGTAATAATTTACAGTTTCGACCTCACAAACGTGTAATTTAGCAGTTAACGGCCGAAATGTTCGTTACCTGTGCTATGAGTAGCACGATCAATGAATTTTATGCACATGCTCTTAACTACTTGTTTTTAAGCAATTACATTGCCGTCCTTATCATGAAATTGTACTAGTCGCCTATGCAATTTTTCGTTATTAATTGGATGTGCTTGCAGGTTAAGGAGATCCGTTGTCTTGTTATACCACCACAATGCGGAACGCATCAAAGTGTGACACTCCCACAAGCGCTGCCGCAGCATGACTACCTGAAAGATTTGGAAGCCTTAGGCTGGATGCATACGCAACCGAATGAGCTGCCCCAGCTCTCACCTCAGGTATTTAATTATTTATTTTTATTCCTTGCTGTGTCATAGGGTTCAATTCATGTTGATTCTAAACGTATCTGAATGCACACAATTTTTTCCAGAGCAAGGTAACAATATACGTGTACACGTCAATTAGCAATTACGCACGATAACTAATTATCTGGCCTTCTCTTTATTATAGAGCCAGATATATGAGCTGACAGTAGCCGCAGTGGGTATATAAACACACTTTTATGGAATTTGAAATCTAGCAACGTTACCAATAGCTTTCCGTACAATAATTTGCTGTCTTTCTTTTGTGAATACGTAATATTTTCAGGATGTCAGTACGCACGCACGAATGATGGCTGATAATCAAACATGGGATTGCGAGAAAACCATTGTACTGACATGCTCTTTTACGCCAGGTTCGTGTTCTTTAACCGCATACAAGCTTACACCGTCTGGCTATGAGTGGGGCAGGCTGAACACTGACCGCGGCAACAACCCCAAAGGCTATTTGCCCTCACACTACGAAAGAGTGCAAATGCTGCTTAGCGATCGATTTCTTGGCTTCTTTATGGTGCCGGCTCAAGGCTCCTGGAACTACAATTTCATGGGTTAGTATCGCGCTGCTATAATGTTAACGGCCATGAACCGTACGGTTTGTACGATACCGTACAAACCGTCTTGCGATATTTACAACTCTGTCACTATTCGCTGCCTTATAAACGAAGCAGAAAATGTAGCTATATGGCTTGAGGCACTCACTAAATAGAATGCGGGATTACTAGGTAAAAGTTGAATGCTGCGACCGATAGTTCGCCTTGCTTTTAATATGGTCTGGTTAAACTTATTGAATGTTAACTGAAGTATGCATATACAATATTTCACTTTACAGCTTAGTAATGCAGATTATATTTAAATTAGTGTTCTTACGACATGAAGTTGAATCTTTATATTATGTAATTAGTTATAATTTGTATATATCTTTAGTAACCTATTTTGAGTAGTCAAGTACAAGACCTCTTAGTAAGTATCAGCAACATTATATTTTTTGCCAAATGCTATGTTTAAATTTCTACGTTACTTCCCACTTTTCTGTTTCAGGTGTACGGCACGATGTAAACATGAAGTACGATTTGGCGCTTGCAAATCCCAAGGAATTCTATCACGAGGTCCACCGTCCATCGCACTTTCTCAACTTTAGTGCCCTTGAGGAAGGAGAGGCCGTAGGTGCCGACAGAGAAGACCTGTTCCAGTGAACAAAGGCAGCAAGATGCTGAAATCTTTCAATAAGTACTGAAAGAAATTTTGTGAATTGGCAGAGCATTGTCTGCGAAAATGTATATACACGTATAATTAAAAACAAATTACGTTGATGAAATATATTTGGAAAAATATTATGTATATTAATTTCTCTTAACCAATAAGATTTAAAGTGGGTGTAAAGAAAATCCAATGGTTTTTGACTGATTAGTTACTATATAACTGAATGTGGTAGATTTCGAAAATGATATGATCGTAATAAAGGGGCTTCTTTTAGAGTATCAACATCATGCAAACAGACGCTTATTTATTTTGTTGCAAGTTAGTCCGTCTACAGTATAATGCTATCTGTGTTATCTGGTATTGCGTGACATTGAATGAAATTAACTGCTCTGAAGAATTTACTGTACCTATTTACCCTCATATTACAACAGATTGCAAGAAATTATTACTAGATTAATTAAAAATTTTCTATGAATTACAGTATTCTTCATCAACAAATTGTAGATGTTCAACTTTTCGCTGGAGGAAGAGACGAACTTTCGAAAATACTGGACTTGCTAGATATGTTTACAGAATTCTCCTGCATTCCGTAGATTCTTGTTATATTGAGCGCGTACATATTATGATGCTGTATCCACCATATTCAGTACGTGCATATTATAAAATGAGGCTGGCAACTCAGGCTGAGTTTTTTCTTGAGCTTACGCGGCCTCTTCCTAAAAGCTCGGTATTCATAGCACATAAGAAACTTCAATCTACTACATGCCTTGGACAACAAGACTGCTTGTAGTCTTTTTATTATTTTTTAGTCTTTTTAAAATTGCTTTTTATAAAGCAATTTTGAGCTAGACTCCTATAAGCTAACGAATTCAATAATATTATCAACCTTTTTAGTGGGGAGAAAACTATAGTGCTATAATTTAAAGCCGACAAAATCGTCGAATCTGGGAAGTGCAAGAGTTATGCCCACTTGTCACTTGTTACCATTCTAACTGCTTTATTGCTCCTTCTAACATACACACTCAAGCCAAAGTTACCTCCATAAAACATGATCGAGGTGTATGTATACGCGGACAAGTGTCATTCGATGATTTGTAACTTTAATGACGACTAACTCGTATACAGACAGGTTGTTTATTTTTGGCACTATACTACTAAATTAAAAAACGAATTCCTTTAATTCACCAAAAATAACGAATTAGTATTTCTTATATTTACATACATCCACATTTTTACACGATGAGTGTAGAACTAAAGATATTTTCCATGGTACATAAGTATACAATTAATGCAACACATATGTTTCCAAGTTGTTACACAGTGCATGCCACTGCTTTATGGCTAGTATTTGGGCCTACATCCTTGAAAGCGTGTAGTTTAACCTGCGAGGGCAAGCAGCTTTAAAATAAGCCATGACTTACGGTGTTCAGATAGTTTTTCGATTATAATACGCCTGCAGTTTGAAACGTTCTTTATATTTTAATACAAGACAAAAATGTCTAAGTAGATGTTCTTTCTGTGTGCTGTAGGAAGCAGCACCTCAATACAGATCTATATATATCTTCACTTTATGTTGTCATAAATAGTACCACTTAATTCATATTAGTCATTTTCGTTATTAACTTAGGTCTCTAGTTTCAGGTGTACAGCTTCGCTCGGTCACCATAGATGTACCATTTCGAGCAACAATAATTTACTTCTTTAGTTTTTTTCCGAATTTTACTTTAAAATTCTCGTATTTACTATCCAGTACCTTGTCTTCGGTACTGTTTCAGTTAGCATGAGGAATTACCATCGAAGCTGATGGCAAATTTAATTCAATTGTCATACTTCAATATGCCTAAATAATGAGCGAGCGAGATGTGTCAGTATATAAAAAAAAAAACAGGGCATAATGAGCAGCCTATTCAATGCCTCTCAGTTTCCTAAGCGATGACACCCTGTTACTTAAGGCATCGCTACTCTTATTATTTCGAAGGCCATCTCATAGATGAGACCCCACCGTCCTGACCACCGCTTCTGGACACAATCATGCTGCGGTTGCCTCCATGGAATTTGTGCTTTCTACGGACCTTTTGAATTTCCCCTCTCACTGGATTACCCCAGTCGTTAGTTCCACCCCTACTACCAGGATGCTCTGAATTTGACGCTGCTTGGCCGAGTTCCTCCATATCGTCAAATTGCTGTCTCTGACGATTCCGTTCTTGATTGTAGAATTTTCCTTGGCCCCGCCTGCCTGATCCTAAATGTCCATCTGAAACATTGAAACCAAAATGAATGTCTTCTATATTGTGCATTGATACCTGAAGGATAACGTCTTTATTATTTAAAACTTTCGGTTTCGTGCTACCCTGGCAAGCGAAATACCTACTCTGCTAACTACTTTACAAAGTTTCTCTTTATAAATCCTAGTAAATTCCAATAATTGTAATTCAATAAAGTCTTAAATGAATCTTATAAAAAATATTGCGTTTTGGTGTTATCCCGTAGCTACTCAAATTCACCAAAAGCACCTTTGTTCAGTCTTGTTTAGCTTATCTATCATACGTATGCTTTCATATTCCTACTAGCGTGATCTCGATTTAATGATTTCGTGAATTGTACAGGACAAGCCTTTAAGAGAAAGTATCATTTAGCAGAACAGAAGTCCGGTTGAGATGACAAAAACTCCGAGACGTGTTCCGTAAAGTGACTGCGTTTAAGCAGAGAAACTCAAGTATGTCGTAAGTAAGAAATCCAAAATCGACTGCTAACAACTGTTCAATGCTACTGCACCGTTTTTAAAGGCCTATACTACCCGGCGTTACAATGGCTGTCGCTTTTCCTACCTTGCCTATTGTCTCTGTTGTTATATTGTTGATTTTGGTGCTTTCTTGGCTGCTGACTCTGTTCGGCGATGGCCCCAGCATAGTTGAACGGTTGAGTCTGTTCGCGTTGCTTTTGCTGTTGTCTCTGTTTTTTTCGTTTTCTCCTCTCCAACTTCGACGTTTGCGTATTCGCGTAACTGTGGAATGCCGCAGTGATGAAAGTATCGATTAAAGTTATGCTTTGTCAAAGCATATTGTAAACAATGTTTATTTGATATAATTGTACGTATACTACTATGCTCTCTAGCTGGTCTGGTGTTGACCTCTTCATCTGGACGTGTTACAATGATGCTATCATCTTACGTTCAGTAGGGTCAGTTTAGGAAAGGCGTTAGTTCAGCTTGATCACTGACATTTATAGTAATTTTTACTATAGTTCACTTTTCTACGGCGGCGTTTGGCTTGCTCATACATCCTGTACTTATCTCTATTTCAATAAGTCTTTGAAAATTAAAATGTGTATAGAAAACGACCGAAATTCTAATTGAGTAGATTTGGTTGCGCGGTTCACCAGTTATTATGCATTATACCAAACTACTCTACAAACCTAATTTCCTCGCCGCCAGCAAACGGAATTGATGGTTCTTCCCGTTTTCGTTTTCTCGACCTCGCCCCTCGGATGACGGTAGGCTCCGATTCTTGTGATTTTTCCCCGAATTCTTCGTCGATCTCCGAATCTTTTTCATCTTCTTCGTCTTGAATGCATTCCGAAGACTGCTCTTTCGGGGCAGTCGAATTTTGCGATGTCTCACACTACAAGAATATTTAGACCACATTTACATGAAGTATTCTAATAGCCCAGGACGGCACTATAACTCAGTAGATTCTAACACGCCATAACAAAATGTTGCCTATAATTTTACCTCCTGTGGTTGACAGAGTTCAGCGTTTTCTCTTGCCTCCTGAAGCATCTTGTTAAGAGAATCACGTTCAAGCTCGGCTCGTTCCACTTCTTTCACGTATCTAAAAAACAATTTTAGTTATTATAACACCGGCTCTCGCCTAGATATAGGTACATAAAACAAAACAATACCGTTCACATGTTTTTAAATATTACTTCTATGCGAAAGTTTTACGAAAATATTATATATTTTTTGGATAGATAAATGGGTGTTTCTGCTAATGCTGGTTTTATTATTATCTCTAGTTTTCTCAGCGCTGGGTTCACTTTTTGAACAAAAATGCTGCACCTTTCATAGGGCGTAATCATACGAAGACGTTGAACCTGTCCTTCCGGCGTCCGCTGCACATATAGATTACGTGGGAGACGCGCCCTTTTTACTTGATCCGCTTCTTCCCAATGTGGAAAGAGAGCCGAATGCCTCAGGCGAGGCACCGTGATAGGTACACCGCTGTCACTAAGTGATTTGCCTTCTTCGCTTCTTATCAGTTCACCGTTATCATCTGTAACATCGCACAAGAACACAACAGACAACTTGTCAGTAATAAAAACCCAGAAAATTGTATAATCAATTGTAAAGGCAAGCATTTTATTATTACGTGAGAGCATAATTTCCTTTCGCTATAATTTGCACATCATAGACCTTATTTATAGTATTAGAGGCTGAAATTAAAAATAACTTCTCAATTGGCAAGCTATACGCATTCATAAATAATTACTCCGGGCTGGCCAGTTTCTCATTGTATGCAAAATTGCACTTTCGTTTCGATACGAACCTATAAGTGTTGGTAGTCGAACATGAGTATCGTCGTGGGCATGCGCCACGGGGATGTCATGTACAATATGAAGCATGTTGTCCATGTCGAACATGTGCAACGTAGATGGCACAGGTATTTCTAATTTTGGGGCGTTCAGAATCGGCTGCGGGTCAGTGATAAACAGCGAAAGATGGTATAGTCGTTCATTACTTTCATCTTTTTAGATAAGTAATTGAAAAAAGGTAGTGACTGCTACTCGTTATCGATGGCAGTATGAGCTGAAATAGATCTGATAATTTTCTGTCGACAAAGAACTTTCTTCCCCACAGGCACTTACCCGTGGTTCAGTGTCACCTATTACCGTTTTCAAATCAAAAGAAGTGTAATGGCTAATTAGAGAACATTCCACCATTACTGGTTTCGAAAACATAAATCCCTTTCTTTTTAGTATTCATCGTTATCTTTAAAAGAGTTAAAGTTTATGGATTCATCGCAAACTAGCCTTTGAGAAGACTTAATTGAGGTATCATGTTTTGATAAATGTGCAAAGTCTCATGTTCTATAATGGCCTATGCCATTACTGGGAAAACGAGTTTTACTTACATTGCTTAGTTGAACTTCACGGGCTTTCAGAATGATTTGGTGCAATTCGTGGAGCTGCTGTTTGACCAGTGGCGGACAAGGGTTGCAACAAGCGATAATACCTTGAATCTCGCGAGGAAGCACTTCACACATTTGCAATAACATGTGATTCGGTAGAACGTACCTGGAAAACCATAGCGAAAAATATTAAGCTCCATTAATGGCTACAGAAGATAATAGCTTGTTAGTAAGCGTGGCTAATTTTTTAGCAGCCCATAGCAAACTGATGTCCGAGAACGTTCTGGATTACAATTCTCTACAAGACTTCTGCTTCGGGAAAAAATTATGAAAATTATACGCTTACGAGCTATTGAGGTGAGTAAGTACTGTTGGGTAATGCTACAAGGTATTTGCGTCTATAAATCCCTGGTATGGTGTTATTTGTACTATGTATGACCTATATTGTGAAGCTCCACATCAACTGACGTGGTTCTCCTTTGATCAAACAGAAAAACGCTTCTGTGTGGATTACAGCTAAGGAAGACTACGACTTACCCGGTGCTCTCGTCATGTTCCCTGGCTAAACGATCCCGCCATGCGTAAAGATGCTTTAATGCATACATTTGTTTATCGTTCAATTTTTTGTGACTAGCTTTCGTCAGCTGTAGGTGGCTATCTTCAGTAAGCAGCGGCTTCTCATAACGCCGTAAACAAATCTGTGAACTACGTTCCCATACTGCACGTAATAAATTGCCCTGAAGAGTTGAACACCGGTTAAACACTTCTTCCCTGGTAAAAGCCTCCATTTAGGTAAAAATTTGTGACGACCCGTACAATTTTAGTTTTTTTTTACTATAATTTGGTCGTATTGAATACGACGAGATAATTTGGAGAATTTGGTTTCAGGTTCCGACTCTGTGCACTATCAGAGGTAGGATCATGATCATTATCTATGTAATATTACTTTTTAAAAAGCAATCACTAATAATATGGAGTACTGTCTGCTTACCTGTGTATTGGATGCATCAGCTAAGTCTCGTTTCATTCGCTCAAAAATTGGTAACAAATAATGGGTGTCCCCTCTGGCATACGCGATCATTTCCTCAGGTAGAGGTCGAATACGCCAGTCTACTAGTTGAAATCGTTTGTCCGCCTCCACTGACATATAATATTTAAGAAGATAGCTTAATGACAATCGCTCAAAGTTCAAAAGTTTAGCAGCTACGCCAGTGTCGAATAGGTTCACTATGTAGATGCCAAAATCACGTTGAAGCCATTGTACATCACTAACAGCACCGTGTAGAACTTTCACGATTCGTGGGTCTGTTGTCACCTCATTCATAATATGCAGTTCAGCTCGCAGTACTAGAGGATCGACAATATAGTCTTTCTCCCATGTAGAAATCTGGACTAGACATGTGAAACCCTGACAAAGTGATTATCATAGTACATTAGTGTCTTTTTCATATAGGTTTAGACGAACATCCAACAGTAAAAATATATTGCGTTTTGAAGTCTGCAACAACGTCTGGTCGTTTGTATTTCTCGACGTTCGAGCGAAAAATTGCTACAATACTATTACAAGTCATAAAAAGTAGATTCACCGAAAAAAAAATATATATATATATATATATTATACATGTACGACATTTTCACTCTGTGGAACGAGCGAATTATTACCTGAAATGAACGAAAAGAGTGATGCTCGAGATCAATTGCGATGCATTTCTGAATTCGTAAATGAGCCATCATTTCGTCAATGGCTTCCGACGTGTTCACCATGTGGAGCGGTGTATCAGCCATCGATAGCGAATCCTACGAAGCATAAGAGCAAATCGAAATGGATGATAACTTACAGCGTTTTCGAATAAATTTGACAAAACCGTGTAACTGAGTAATTTATTATAGATGTCGTCTTCAATACAGATTTCTTGCAAGAAATGCTTATATGCGCTCGCTTTCATTTTCAAATATTTCTTCGAAAAAATTCCCGAAAAGAGACTAAATATTATTCGAAGTATAACTAATATGGTGGGCTTTCCCATACAAAGTATATTTAAGCCTAAATATAATACACCAAAGTATCTATAGCACAAATAAATCGATACGCTACTAATGTACGTACTTTGACATTATGAGCGATGTGCTCTTCACTGGGCTGGAACGTTTCAATTTCTACTTCGTATGGATGACTGTATACTTCTCGACCGTCTTCGTGTCTTTCGATTAGTATTGCTAACGGCTTTTTGGCATTCGGCTTCTCCCTGATAAACATAAGATTAATGTTGTTCCAAAAGCAAATTGCTCAATTTAATGCGTGTGAACGGGTTCATCATTCGTATTTTGAATTCCCTTAAGGGTCCCTTAAACCTTTCATTTTTTCAATTGAGCTTATTTTTCGCGTTAACGAGCTGTTAAGCCACACAAAAGGCTGTTAAGCGTATGATTAAGTGTATAGTTTTAGTATCTAATTCCAACTAGATAAGATATTGTTTGACATAGTTTTTAAATTGCGTACTTCCAGATTGCAGACACGTGTATAGTCTCCACTTACTTACTTAATGATAGGAACGAACAAAGAATTGGAGTTGTCAATTTTCTCCGGAAATGATAGCTGGGGTCGAGTTACATTCTTAGCCGTTAGAAGAGTTATTGATGTAGCAGAATCACGTTTCACCTTGTCGTTCTAGAAAAAACAGAAAAAAGAAAATCGCAAACGAAGACAAATATCAGACTTATTCCTATTATTTGTATTTTTTTCCGATGCAGAGTTATGTTTACAACATGCAAGCACACGAAGCTAAGCAAAAAGGCACTTGTTAACAGCATCTACATTATGGAGTAATCTAGTTTTATTGGTTCTTTATGGAATGAAGTGTGTGTACTTTAGTTACCAACAAGATCAACATCCTTTTATATGCTTAAAAACCAAATATGATTTCGGGGGACAATTTTAATGCAAATGCGTGGCATATTTGGGGCAATGTTTAACTAGCAAGTGTTAACCTTTCCAATACAACGCTAGTTATAATTTTGTTTATAACATTCCTCATGAATTTGGATTAATATATTTCGTAGTCTAGAAAATATCTCTTGATGTCATCTTCTAGACTTACATTTTTAGAGCTGTTTAAATCCTTATTAAATAAATTTACATTCAGATACTTGATTTACCATTTACAAGTGTTTAAAGCGAAAACGAGTAATACGAATCTACAAAATATAGTATCAGGCTTACTTTTCGATTCCAAATTGTATCGATCTGTTTTGACACTGTAGCAAGCTGAAGTTCGCTTTGCTCCTGTTTTACACCTTTAGCTACATCAAGCGATATTCCTGCTCGCTCAAGAAGAACATCATTAACCTCAGTAAGAAGGTCCACCTATGCAAAAATGAAATGAAATAATAGTTACTGACTTCCTTTTCACTTTCAGTCGAAGCCCGCTGGTCTTGAGTGAGATGTCCTTTTGGATTATGCATGCTCGTGTATAATCAACTACATTTGCCATAGGCACTGAGATTGCAGACAACAATCAGCTGTTTTGTGCTTTAATTATACTACAGATTATTTTTCACTCGTCATTAAAGACCACACACAACATCGCACATCCTATATTATTATTATTATACTGTATCATGTAGTCTTTTATTCTAATTCAGATAAAGTAACGCATCTAGTTAAGAGATGTTTGGCAAACCTTTTCATCAAAGTCGGTGCCCTCTGCTTGGAACATGTTCTGCTTGCCGACCTGTTGACTAGCCAACGAAGACATCCTGCAAAGATTAAAGGAAGATGAATGAATTAACTTACCAGTTCTAATTTTTTGCCTATAATATCAGTTAAAAAAAAATCGGATTAAGCAGATGATCGCATTATTCATGAGCGCAGCAATCAGTGATGCATTTCAAGTGCTCTTTTTATTCGTGGTCAAAAAAGCCTTCAATAGAAGGTCAAAAGAAGCAAAACACGAGTAGAACATGCATGCTAAACTAAATTTTTTCTAGGCAAAAACATTAGAGAAATGAATTTACTTATAGTTCGGATTCATTTCCGGTATTTAATACAGATAGCCTACATGAAAATCAGAATCTTAAAAATGAAATGTATAAATGTTTCATGTTTCACGTCCGATAGTGGCTTTAAGCTTAGTCTCAGACGACTGGCTTCTAACATAAAATGAAGTGTTTGCGTTCAGTTCTGAACTTTCATCACCCTTGTACCCGTAAAAATTAGCAGGCAAATAACTGCTGCACTACCATGGAGAGGTACTTCTCACACTTACATTTCCATAATGGCCTGTCCTTCAGCCCCCATAACGCGTTTGAAGAGCGGAAAACTACTATAATAATCATGTTCCTGACCGGGTGGGGGCAATTTGTTCGCGGCTGCCGTAAAATTCATTATTGACTGTAGAAGGACCTATAACGAAACATGCAATTAATATTAGCATTCATAAATAAAAACGTCAGATCGTGAGATACATTTGGGATTAGCATCTAATACGTATCAGTCATTTTGCCCCTGTGGATATTGAGAAACAGAACTTGGCGAATTGCATTGGAACACTGCATAAATAGTAACATTTTATTGAGCATACTGACACTAAACTACAGAGAGTTACTTTTTCTAACGCACCCTCTACGATGTCTTGAGAGTTAGCCCGATGCCCCTTTAAGAAATAAAGCTTCTGTCGAAAACCTTTTTTCCTAACAGTCGTTATAGCAAACGATGAAAAATGTCACTTCTTAACTTCGTGATAACTTTACCGTAAAAACTAACCTAATCTAGATGATACAAGTTGACTCATTCACTTCATCAGACGCTTTCCAGTTTATCTATCGCAATGTAGTGTCTTATAAAACCTACCACACACCATTTGCTGCTAAATTACTATAAATCATTTTTTTTTAAATTCAAACATGACAGTCGTTCAGTTGACAGCCACGTCCTAGCATATACACTTATAGGCATAAGGCATTATTAATTATTACATGATATATTCAGTAGCATAATACAAATATTACTTCTACAAAACTACGCAACTTTTATACCGATACTGTTTACTTCAAACATCAATAACTACTTACCCTTTTATAATCCTCAAAACTCTCATATTTTCCAAAGCTCTGTTTTTCAGGTACACCGACCGCCGTGCTAGCCTCTGGTTTTTCCATGTCGCATTCGATTTCACAAGTTTTCAGATTTTTTTAAGATAGTCTCTTTGTCATATGACCACAACGCATACTATAAAACAAAGCAAATCGAACACACACTGGTAAACCCTATGAGCACGTTTTGATGGGTGGTTTAGGAATCTTGTTAGTCAACATTTGGAAAGGGCAGCGGAGACCCTCTCCATACCTCCTCAGACTCATACGATCCGGCGGTCCGATTCTCTTTTTGAACTAATATTTGTATAATCAACTTGATTTACGTAAGCATCTATTGTTTCTTTATTTAATTACACTTGTCGTTGGCGGGTTTTAAACCAAGGACTCTTGAGAGCAGAAAGGAGCGATTTCGGACGAAATTGGTATAGTATGCGAATGCTACAGAACAAAAATAAGCAGTAGCTAAAAATGGATGTCGGCTTACGACTGTTAGAAAAATCCTGCAAATACGAATGTATTTATCTGCTAAGCCTAAGGACATCGGGCTAGTCTGGGTTTAAACCTATGCATAAATATACTTCGTTTTTTGCTGGCGGTCAGCCGCGTAAAATTATGCTCAGGCACTACCCGACGTTAATACTCGGAACATCCTACCGAATCTGTTAGAGGAAATCCAGATACGTCTAGCAAGCTCCTACATGCCGGGAACCCTTCAAATCGAACAAAAGATAATTCAGAAGCCGCCCTATGGCACAGCAAGATAATTGAGGGTCATTTTCGACAATGTCATATATTCTAGTTTATGTTTATTCAAAGAAACTGTTTAAAAATAAGCTTTTTTTGTTAATCTGAACAGGTAGCAATCTATGATCGCGTAGACTGAAGCAAAAAAAAACTTGCTTTGAGAAACAAAACTTCGAAATTTCTGATTTTTTCAACTTATTTGGCCAGTATTTACAATTTTGAAATATCCTTAATGAAACCTATTTAGAGGAATCTTAAACATATGTTAGATGACCTATAGAGTAAATAAAGTATCTTTAAGCCAAATTCTTTCATAAAACTTATAATCTTGAGTAAATATGCAATAACCTATGAAAAGCTCAGAGACATATTTTAAAATGTTTAGATTTTGCTTGTTAAATGCGCATTTTTCAATATGGACTACAAGAATGAAAAAGCATATATAAAAATATTTTGATTCTAAGTGCAAGGTCTTACCGTCATCTTTTTTGTGCAGGTTACATTATTTAGCTATTCTAAAGTAGTAAAGTAAGTTAAAAAGTTTTTCTTGAACTTTTTGTGAAACTTTTTAGGGATATTCCGGTTTAGGTTTTAGCTGGTAGTGACGTCGATGATAATGGCATATGGTTATCATGTAATTATGTGTAGTTACGCTTAAGAATGTATGTTCAGAAATACCCACTTAACATAATTTTATTGGATTCTTTGCATTAGGTGGACTAACCATGACTCCATTCTTGGTAAGTTAAGTACCAATGCCAAGTTTAACAAGCTTTCAGGTCCGCCAAGAGGCTGTCATTTAAAGATATATTAACACGATATTTAAATTTAAGGATATATAAACAGTTTCGAGTAGTGAGTTAAATCGTTATATCACTTTCGTGTGGTTTAAATTTATTTGAAATGTCAGTTGGAAGACTGCGGGGATTTGAGTAGAACAAAAAGGGTAAGCGAAAAACGGGGAAGTCAGCGAGAATAAGAGTAAAAACAGGCTTTAGCAAGGCGTTTTCGATAACTCTTCGAGTTACCTCCATCTAAAAGGAATGAGAGCAACAGATGGCTATGACATGCCGGGAAGTATAAACATCGATGCGCGGGGCTGAAATCGGGCCTGCTTACGATCGCGGTTTGATGACTAGAAGCGGGTTAACTTCGGCTCTTCAATTATCTCTTCTGTCTAGGCTCAACTACAGGGCCTCATTTTTTCCTTCGTATATCGGAACTCAAAAATCGATACCTGTCAAGAAATTGAGCGATATGAATAACTCACGACGTTTTCTGCTTTAAGTAGTTTTCTGCATTAAGTAGTTTTCTGCAGGATTCAGTAGCAGTTATAACTACCCATATCTTACACTTTCAGCTTGTTTAAATGTCACGATTGGCTATGGCTAGGACTATAACGGCTTTTGTATCGGCTCAAAGTTCTCGTTAGTCGTCATTTAAATAACGAGATGAATAGCAGTGGACGCCCTGCAGGTGCTCGACTAGCATTCACTTCATAGAGGTGACATGAGACGAGACCACTTGAAGTATTTTTTATGTTCTCTTTACAGTGAAGAAATAGGCACACCTGTAGCGCTGAATTCCTAAAATCCTTTATGGATTAAATAGATATGACTACGATTTATTTATGTGAATGCCTATGTTCCCAATACTGAAACAAAGCGGCCAGAGCATGAGGAAATTATCACGAAGTTACTGGCGATGTTATGAAGGCTTCATTATTGCTAGCAATAGAGAATGGACACGTAATCAAAGGAATAAACGGTGTGCGACTTCCGCTTCCAGTAGCAGCTTCCCTAGTAGTTATTGAAGCGATGTTGAGTGGTGATTCCAAAGACGGTTAGATAGGAAAATAGCTATGGGTCAGCCCGGTAAATCTAACTTCCATTAGCGTCCAACGAGAATGGCCTGTCGGATAAATCGTCTCAGGCAAAAGAAAACCGAATTATCGCCAATAACCCGGGTCATTGCAGCACTCCGGTCTTTTGCTATTTCGATGTTCCATTGCTACACTAGGCCCAGTTCTATCTATGTCCAAAGGCTTGCAGACGTAAGGCTCAGTTTTTTTTCTAACGAAGGAATTAGCATGCCGTAACGTACCGGAAGGAGTGGGATTGAAGCTACAAAGCGCGTGCAAGGTCAAAGACAAAATGAATATGTCACTCAAACGCCGGAACCGGAAATAGATTCGTGTGACAAAGTTGTGTTCCACCGCTCATTGTGCTCCGAGTAAGTTTCGGGCGGAGCGTTTCGCTTGACGTATCAAACCGACTGCAGTCAGTAGATCACTTCGAATGGGCTTGTTCCTGTACGCGAAAACGAAAATTAAGCAGTAATGCTATTCATGTAAAGGGAATGTTCATGTATAGTTACACGCCTGTTGAGTATACAATAGTACAGTAAAGGTTTATTGGTCTATCTTATCAGGCCAAAGTAAACGGATCCCCCCCCTCCCTAAAATTCAAAGATGAACACCACGTAGATAAAATTTAAGTTCATCTAAAACACATTTTGCTAGCTTAGCGTTTGCATGTAGCTAAATAGGGACGAAACATGAAAGGGTTTCTATGAATATGTTTAAGGTGATAAATACATGGCGGTAGCATAGAAAAAGTAAGAACAAGTCGTGGCGGAAATGATATACGCCTATTTCAGTTTTGCTTTCCTATCGAAGCTTTCAACACAGGGTGGCTTCATCAAGCCAATAATGCGGGACAAAATAAAAAAAAACAGTTATTATTATAGACGGTTCCAATATTTTCGCCACTATATATACCCTTGCTTTAGGTTTTGTACAATATGCCTTCGTGACACACCAAATAAAAAAGCGTTTAGCGTATGCCTTAAATCCTAATTACCACTTTTCCCCAAAATCTCTTTTGTATGAAACAGGTTTATTTCGGAAATTCGTAGGCAACTGAATTCTCTACCAACCAAAATGGGCAGAATAAATGCTCACAATCCTGGCACAGTATGAAATATTCACTTACGCGGCTAAGGAGGGAATACATTCTATCGGCTAAGGGGGGAATACATTCTATTTACTTTTGAATTGGCAACAAATGTTCGAGTCATAACTTCAACAACTTGACTTTCGCGACGAGGCTAAATGGTTAAACAGATTAAGGTTGAATTAATGCGTCAGTAAGTGGTAACGCATTACGATACACAGGCCTCATAACTTTTGATGATTATTGGGACCTATTTTACCCCTTTAACTAGCTTGGCCTTACTATTCGGCAGTCAGTAATAAGCTAAAAACTCCAATACATTACGACTACGTAATAAACGTAAAACACAGTTACGCTTGCGTAACCAAACAACATGTTTATTATACAGCAAGCTATAATAAAGTGTTCACAGCAGATAAATTTACTTTGTTTTTTGGCATATTATGCAACAGGCTTCAGTTGGATGGCCAGATAAAAGTCCGGAAATTCGTTGGTCACAGCGACATTTGTCTGCTTAATGTTTTTTTTACCGCGTTTGCGGCTTCTGCTGCCACGACTCTCAGTTCGGGGTAGGAACATCAGTCAAAAATCTACCAAAGAATCTGCTCCATTTTCAACTTTAGTTGGGCGTTTCTGAAGAAGTCATATATTAGCAAAATGGGTCAAGTTACAAATACGACATTTAGACTATTTTTGTCAATTCGACACCCTGATTATCATCACGGTCACAAACGCTACTCGCAGCAACCTCTTGAATTTGTTTATGACTATCATTACTTTCGACCGATTGTACGGCGTGATCCGACAGCGAAGCAGTTAATGAGCCACGACGCTGACTAACCGGGATATAATATAGTGGACGTTGAGACTGAGGCGAGACAAAATCCACTAGAACCACGCTAGATTCCTGCCGAAGGGAATCCCGGTGATAGTGGGCAGCACTAGACCTCGACGGGAAAGATAGGATTTCCACGGAGGGATCTATGGCCACTACATCGGTGGCGCTCTTTTGGCGCTCAGCAAAGGTCGATTTTAGGACCCGGCGACGCAATCGTTCGATAACACTAAGTGGATTTGCATCATTCTGCAGCGACGTTTCTTGCGAACTCTCTCTTGTTGAGGAGGAATGGTCACCTTTATGCTTGCATTTCTTACGACGCTGCTGACAGCTGACTGAGCGTGATGTAAATGCTTCGCCCGCGATTTTTGTCGATCGATCCTCGCTTAGCGCTGTAGGTTTTTTGCCGCTTCGCCCGAACCCATCTTTGAAATCCCCAATGTCACCTTGTTCGATGGACATGGAAGCTACATCAGCGGGTTTGCTCTCTAAAAGGACTGCCTGTGCTGGACTAACAATATCCGACGCACAGAGATCACCAATAACGTCCGCGGCACGTAGTATAGCAGGGATGTCAAGTTGCGTTTTCGGCTTTACGATGTTCTTTATCGCCGCGTTTTGGTCCGGTCTTCCCTGCAGCCCTATAACGCTTTCGCCCGGCCTTTGATGCGTGACTGTTAAACTATCCTCGGCGGTTTCTTTCAAAACACTCGATTCCTTTTCGAAAGTTTCGGATCTTGGGGTATCATTAGTAATCCTAACGCGTGACGTCTGCTGCTCTTGCAAGACATCCTTAATTAGTCGTTGATTTGATCGATGCTGTTCTTCGGCGTCATGCAGAAGAGCTGACGCGGCTTCTACGGTCGTCGTCGACCGTAAAACCGCATCGGCCTCCTTATATAACGCACCCAGCTGTAGGATACTATCCTTAGATAGGCTTTGGTCCGACTTGTAAACATCGCCTGCCACTTGCAGAATGGTCGATATGTCTCGCAGGGTTTTCGATCTTGAAATAGGAGTTGGCAATGGTTGTCTTTCGTGAGTCGACACGTTACCCAGCGTGCTGTCCTGTAATTCGTGGTGACGAGGTCGTTTATCCTGCTTTTCTGATGAGCGTTCATGGGTCAAAGTCAACGAGCATGATGAGTCTTTCAAGTACTTAGCTAATGGACTAGCTGACTCATTATGTGCATTTAGAAGCGAAAAGAAAAATGACGGAGAACCCGTTAATTCCGGACTAGCAACTTCGATTCTTCGATATTCGGTGAGGTTCTCCAAGGACGGTTCGGTTATTAGTCGAGGAATAAAGGGTTCAGAGGGCGATGGCTCTATAAACGAAGTCGTCCAATCATTCGCCTTCGTTGATGGCGTCGATGTTTGACGCAACACCATGCGTTCCTAAAACGAAGGAAGAAACCTTCACAACTCTTAGAAAAAAAACGGGACGTTCCCCGATACCTAAACTCGTGACCTTACAAAAGATAAAAAGCGCAAATTCCGTATGCATATAGCCGATAGCTTATACATCTGTTTTTAAATTTAAGGAAACGTACTTTTGGCAATTCAAAACTGTTGAAGGCGGTGCATATATTGTCATTGTACCATCGAAGTATACCGTCCTCACATTTACCCATGTTTTAGTAACGCATTTATTGATGTTTACAAGCGGCAGACCGTTCGTCTCACCTTCTCAGGATGAGTCTCTTGAAACGGTACCAGAGACTCGTTCGATACAGTCTTTGTCCGAGTGTCACCCTGTAGACTGATTCTTTCTATTGCACGGGGCTCATCGCTATCTAGGATGGATTTTAGCGAAGTCTTCGGTGACGGTTTCTCTGAAGAGGTTGATGACAATGGTGGAGAAGGTGCTCGTGATGATTTCGGTGACCTTACACTCTTTTCTCTGCGCACCGGTGCAGGAACTTCAAATCCGTATATCAAACTGTCGCGGACTTCACCAAGGGGCAATGAGTTTGATCGCAATCCATTCGGAGTTGATGATCGTGGATAGATGTAATCGTAGTTCATGTAGCGACTCTGAACGGATCTTGTCAATGGGGGAGAACATCTATAAGAATACATTAAGAGAATTTTTAAAAAAGTTCCGTATCAGTCATCGCTGTTCTGCTTCATGCAGTTTTTTCAAGCTGACTCGACCCATAATTTTTTTCCCTTGTATGGCAGATTTTCGAAACTACCTATTGGAACTGGCGTGATGACCAACACGCAGAACCCTTCATAGATCCTAAAATGTACAAGACCTGTTTTCATTGTGCAGAAGGAGGTAGTAAGCAGAGAAAAATGAGGTGATGCTAGGCCACTTTTCACTCAACTACAAAAGCAACCAAACGAAATACATAGGTCTCCTAGGCGCCTGCAGTCGGGCGGCAGTCCAACGCTGACGGATTAGATTTTTTTCAGCTTCTTTCTTCGTATCAAAATTCCATGGAACACGCACGGCCATTGATTATGCTAGCTTGTCTTGGTCACTTATAACGTTATTGGTTTATTCTCTTCCAAATATTATAGAAAACACTTTTAATGTCACTTATATTTGAAGAGCTTCGTTGCTATTGTGAAATAGCATTATTCTATTCGAATATAGAAACTATATAAAAGGCTTAAGGCAAATGTATAAACCAATATTGATACACATTTTTCAAAACTATTTACCACTGAGTGAATGCAAAAGCGGGTGAATGAATGATAAAGGTAGTTTCTAATATGGCGGAGAACTTGGTCATACACCAAAGTCCATATGTCATAATTGTCATACCAACCGATGTCGTACAAGGTGCATATGACATTACTGCAAGTTAGGATTTATTAAATACGCCTTTGAAATCGTGTTGAAATAATAATTATGATGTAAGGTGGAAATATTTTATGCACGCTATATCCTGGATATCGCTTTCCGAAGAGTCGTATAGTTAATTAGTTCTTTGCCAAATCAACCTAATAGAAAAAAATCATCAAAAATTACAATTTTTGCACCGTAACAGTTTATTTCTCTAGGGGTCGTACCGAGAAGGTCGACAGCATCGACCGGGCGGCTAATCAATTCGAAGTCTTTTCTTCAAGGACTTGCAAACGCGGAAGACCATACAGTCGAACGATGACGTATAATTAATTTCTCAGTATTTGCTGGGGTACTATCCCTCCCCAAAAGTACAAGCATTTTATGGAGCATTATGAGTTCCTGAAAGCCTCCCAGATTTCACCTGGACATGAAACAACTACAGGAATAATGAAAAGGGATTCCGAGCCACAAGAATCTGGCAAAATGTTCAAGGAAAATTCGCAACAAAAACTTTGTATGCAACATAGGTCACAGCTTTCTTATAGCTTTTTCAATTTTTCCGGTATATATATATATATAAAACAGACAAAGGTTTAACAAGTTATCTTAATGTAATCGCTTAAAAAGCGTTGCTAGGAGTCTGACAAATGCAAAGGAGTCTAGGGTTTTGTAAGACAACAAATAACAAGCTGGGAAATACTTTTCCAGGTTCATTTCTTAATTCGATTTGAAGCAGCTTTAAACATGAAAACTAAAACGAACTCTCCGAATTGGCCATGCACGGTTTTCAGCGGCCAGTTCAGCGTCACCATAGTGTAGCACAGCAGTAAACATTTATAGCAACAATTGACCTTAAACCACATTATCATGTTTCCGAGAAGGATTAACGGGGGGCGGGTTTGCGTGCTTATCATAGGCATACATCGTATTCGACAAAGGCACTCTTCGTTGTACGGTGGAAGCCCTGTGAGGGAACGCCTAACGACGAGGCCGCGGGTATAACTTGAAACGATTTTAGACAACGTTACCTAAAGTTGCTTACTACTTTGTCTCAAAGCAATGTCCACGTCTGCCTTTTTTCTTGACCCGACAGCCAGTAGAGATCACTAACAAGAGCGTCTAGTACGCTGCCATCAGAAATCGCTTCGTGCCTACCTTGTCTGCTACTGCTGTGAGCTACGTTTAATGAGACTTTCTAATAATTTTCAATTGTGTTGTCGAATCTCTCTCTATATGGTATAGGTTTGTTCCTAGCGTTAAGTGGATAAAATTCACCGACCTGCCACCACTGACGTCCGTGTCGAGAGAGTGCTTTAAAAGTGGATCCTTTTTGCGTGATAGACATATAGCTTAGTAGTCAGCTGTATAACTATCCTTCGCTGCCTAGCCTTATCAAGCAGTAGCTTTAGATCCTGGTGACAAGCTAGGTTGTCGAGGACACTTGCTTTAGGGATGAGGGTAAATACTGTGAAACATATTTGTACCTTATTTACATAGTTTATTTAGTCTAGTCAGGCAAAGAACGCCTATTTGCTTATAAAAGTCAACTAAATGTTTGCAGCGTGAGTGTTTTTCTTATTCTTTTTGCATAAAAGCTTGTTAATAATTAACCAGTGCTGATTAGCGGGGTTACCATACAAAGACACAAATGCATAAAGGACGCCGTCTCGCTTTTTTTGTTGTGGTTCGAATATCCCCCCCAATGGCCGAAAGTATTAAGATTGGATCTAGTCTCGATTAACTGTGGCGATGAAATGCTTCAGTAAATTTTACACGCCCTATAGGATTATGACGTTCATAATACTAATAATTAATATTATCGTTTTTTTTATAGCTCATTGTTTATCTGTCTACGGACACAGGTAAAGTTAAGCCTCTCGTTTTGGCGTACAAACAAGTTGTTAGTTTTATCTATAATTTGAGACTTTCCCGTTCTAAAATTTTTGTGTAACTTCTTCTATGTATACACATACATTTCTATCGACCTATTTTATTGCCAACTATGTCTATGAAAGGATCAGCTGAAAGGTTTTTTCACGTTGGTATAGAAAAAAATAAAATAGAGTACGTTAGGGAATCTATAGTCTACCACGAATTTGTTAAAAAAATAGTACGCGCTATTACCTCGGCAGGTATACCTAAGTTCATTAAATTGATCTACATACAATGTTCTACATTCTTATGATTATGAGCGTTCCTCAAATATACACGGTTAACGTGCTTCCCAGACGGACACCTGCTAAGTACAACCTCAACGGTTAGCGCAGAAAGGAAAACTTATTGCATTTTGCATTAGTCAGAACCTCTAAGTGTTAGCTAGTGTAATAAGAGGTAAAGCAGCGGTAAAGTAGGCGGGAATGCTTCTCTACTTGATGAGTATTTATTTCGAATAATTCCGAACCGTCCGCTTCCATTCCTATTCAAGCTGATCTCTGGATTTGGTTGGTCGTTAAATTTAGTTGTACTTTCATCTCAGCAGAATCATCCTCGGCATAGAATGTTTCTCATAGATAGAAGCGAGCTCTCCAGTCAATCAGTGTGAAATCAAAGAACACGCAGTACTGCACAGATATATTCCCTAGACAGAGTCGTGCGTTTTCCTAGGCATGTTATTGCCTAGGACGCGAACACTTTCTTCTTCAGGCCGCAACAGCGGTACCAAACCTCCAAGCATACACATACAAACGTTCTGATGTTTCTATCAGCTATTCGTGCACTTAGAGTTATTCGCTTCGCTTTTAATCTTTCCGTCCGCCCTTGCGCCACTATCAGATATTCCGGAACCGAGGCAAGAGGGCGTCAGATCAGTAGCGAATTTTGCGCAAAGATTACCTCTCTACGTGAAGCCGAGATGGAAACGGGATAAAGGCTATGCGAAGATTACTCTGTGATGATCTTTACGCATGGCACGGAATCGACTTGGCTAGCCAGCCACCGCTTTACCTAATCTTCCTTGATGTTTTTCACATTGTCCTGAGGACACGGTGACGATGCGAAACTGCAGGCCCGGATCGTTCTTTTCGGCGATCTAACTTACGGAAGCAGCTCTGTGCAGAAACGAGATTAAAATAACCACATGCTATGGCCCCGTAAAGTTGAGAACAGGTCCTGTGTTGTAGGTAAACGGAATTGTGTATTAGTATCGTACTACCAGCCACCGTGGAAACAATATCAGCGACGAGAAGAGCGACATCGTATGCAATAGAGTAAATGGTGTGAACATGTGGGCTATTTAGACATTAAATCCCCAATGGCGAGTGTTGCAGGCCGCGGGCTCTAGCATCCTAGCTCCGTGAACCGAGCGAGCCAGCTAAACTTTACATGGTTGCAAGTCCTAGTAGGCTATCTTGCATCGAGCTCAGATAACTTGAGGTAGAGTTATTTATTATAGATAAACGGGCCATATTTTTGTAAAAGAAGTGTGCACCTATATCAAAAGTTCCTTGAGTTGTATTGTCTTCTGAGCAGCAGTTCAAAAAATAACAAACTTGTATTTGTTATAGGGCAAAGCTGAGGCGAGAATCATAAGCGACTAAACCATTTGGCAATCGGCAGCAGCATCTTAGTATCTAAAGTGTAGGATACTAAGCTCTCTACTAACGACTATATATACACATCTTCGGATTATGATGTCAGGAGATACAAACGCGTCTATATCGATTGTATGCAAGCCAATAAAAAGGAACTACTTTAAACTTAAAAGATTATCTAGCAAAGTTTTCATCGATTTGTTCTTCGCACGTATAAAAGCAGCATTATGTTAAAGTTTTAACGGTCAGGTCGAGATTCATCTCTTTCCTACTTCACTCTTCTTAATAGTTTGATCTCGTACCAATCTCATGAAGTCGATGAAAACAGCAATTCGTGGAATTCTTAGGCAGATTTACTGAATTTGACTATTGGCTTTGCAATCAACCCCGTTAAGAATCGCAACCTGGAGGCGGCGACAGTTATATTGGGGCGATCCACCTACCCCACGTGAGGCTGATTGAGTATTGAGTTCGGTAATGATATTTTGATTCTCCTCGGTGGACTGTAAGGAAGTGCCCCGTTCTTAAACGAGAATTATAGCCACTGCTTAAGCCAGGACGTGCACATGAGCTCATCATAGGATCGTTTAGGAGCCCTAGCCAATTTCGTAATGGTTAAAGTTGAAATGTTTGAGCCCTGACGTATGTATACGTAAATTACAATATCGAACCTGTCGTTCGAACACTAACAAAAGCAAAACACAACTCTAGAGTTTTGAGGCTGGAAGTGCTTGTTGTTACAACCGTAAAAAAGTTGCTTCTACTCTATTAAGGACACAATTAGCGTCCGTTTACAAGAACATGTGGTCCTTAAGGATGTCCAGCTCAAATGTGAAGCTAAACAGGCACCGTTAAGTATCTGGTCATGACGTAAAAACGAATATGGCTAAAATAAACCGCGGATTTTTTTACATTGACTCTGTTAGTGGAGTGATTTAACCGACTGGACCTTTGAATTGTTTCTATCAGCAAAGTTGCTAATAGATGCATGAAGACAAATATACTTGTAAGGCCGTTGTTGAACAGTTGTTACAAAAAACTTGCACTAAATTACAGAATTATCGTCATTAACTTTTTGCAAGAAACCGCAAATGTTGGTCGCATGCCAGACACAAATTTTAAAAACGAAGAAACATCATTTTGCGTTTTTGTTGACTATTTTAACAAAAATGACCCCCGGACATCCATTGTAAGCTAGAATATGTGTAGTCTCTTCTTGTACGTCCAAATATGCAATTGCAGCACTCGACTTTGGCTTTGCAGAAGGCATTATGCGATAGTGGACTATTGTTAGCTTAACAATAGAGAATTTAGTTTGTTGATAGTGAACGGTGCTGATTTGCTACAACAAATGTCACCGGGAGGGCGGAAAAATAGGTTGAGGATAAGAAGGACGTGGGCGCATTCTTGTAATATAGTACATATTATGGGTCTACCTTCTTTTTCCCTCAACGAGGAACGGATTTGTCTCGCTTTAAGCCTGTCTTTATGTCTAGTTATTGTTTTAATACATTTGCCGCCTCCCTGCATAATTGACCCTTTAGCTAGGGTCGTATCTACTTCTCTCGATTATTCACCACGTAAACATACGACTTCTTTGAATATTTTTTGGCTTTTAAAGCTGAACTCTTCAAATCTATCGATACTGCATAGTTCCAGTACCCGACCCAATAAATTATATCCAACCGAAGTAATATATGCGGTCCATTCGTTCGAAAAAGGCCAAGTGCTGCAGCTGTACGAGTATGAGGGATCGAGGGAGAGTAGAGTTCGTCTCACCTCATTATTAATGCGAGGAAACAGGTCTGATTGTTAAGACTTGCACCTTAATTCACCTAGCGGCGGTCTATCCTCGAATTCAAAATTGAGTTGTGAAAATCAATTGATCGGACATCTCTATTTCTTTAGAACTAGCCGCCAGTAACGAGGAATAATATCCAAAACGAGGCCTGTAGTCGTCAGGTTGTTCAATTGAACTGAATACATTTGCACAAAACTCTCATTTTGCCTAGGTAAGTCTAACGAATGAGAATTCTGCCGGTACAAAATCAACGGTTACGTGATAGTGACTATTTATATAGGTAGTTTGTTTCCATGGAGCAAACGTGTACACTGCTCAGAGTACTGATTTTTAAAGCTAAGGAAACACCCAAAGATACATCGTTCGGGCAGAAACTGGCAGCAAATATAAGAAGCGTCTACACCAGGTAGTTTCCGCAATGGAGCAGCTGTTATTCGAAAAAGGAATACGAGGTAGCTTGAGTTCGAATTAAATCATTGACATTCCCCATGCGGTAGAGGCTGGAGAAACCGTGCGATATAATGCTTAGAGCGGTGCCGAACCCATAACCTTTCTATCCAATACGGATGACTCGAAATACACGATTCTATTCCTTATTGGTTCGTTAAAATCTTCTATAAACAAAAAAAAAGGTTTTATGGAATTCGAATACTGGTAGGTTAACTGAAAACCGTTTCATTATAGTTATTTACTGTAGTAGTCCCCCAAATGCCAAAAGACACACGTACTCGTCCATCGATAAGGCTTGTACTTAGAGCAGCTTAATTGTAAATATCTACATTGAGACTTATAGTGCCTTCAGCGTGCTGCCTTAGAACCCACCTACTTCGCAGCGAGGACACAATACCGCTTGAACATGTTGAACACCTGACACTCTCACAGCATCACTCCATTAGCTCTTGATCGGCTGACAGATTTCAGTGCTTTTCTCTTTCCCCTATTTCGTTCGACCTGTGTCTCACCATCAGACACTGACTGTAAAATGTAGCCCTGTCCTGCCAACCTTTTGGCCTAACTCTTACCGATGACTACAGTTTCATCCACCGTTCGTGACTAAGCGGCAGACAATTCATCTTGCTCTTGAGTAAGCCGTCGCACAAGAGGAACCGGATACGAAACGCGTGAGAGAATAGGGGATCCCATACATCTGATTGCGTAGCCTGTTTTGTCCTGTACACGACACAGGGGTGTAAGCCTGCCACGGCTACGTACGCTGATCTACGAGATAGAGTGACGTCGCCCGGATTGTTTCTCGATCACGATTAGAAATTGAAATTACTTGTTATTTTCAAGCAAGTGTATACATGTAAGCTACATATAATATTTAATAGAGATATGCATAGAGAGTCCATATTGCTAAAGGTTTGAACGAGCTTAGTCGGACGAACAGAAGCGTTAAGGATACATAAAGTTTATGTAACCGCGGTCGTGGCATTTTAGCCGTCCGGTTTCACCTAAATCTATAACAGCAGATATACAGAAAGCCGTGTCTCTTCTTTTAGAGTGGACACAAGCGGAGGATGAAAGCTAACTAACGAATGAATACTTTAATTAATAAGAAAAATCCAACAATTTAAATAGCATTAATATCATTGTGGGTTTTTCTACCACTACCCTTCACACGGGTGCTTGCCTCGCATTTTAATACCAGATTCGCTTTTACTGATGTAATAAGTAGATCTTAATTCCTTTTTGCGCATCTATTCGATAAAATTGCTACTATTTATTTAGGCATAAAGTCCAAAGTTGTGACCTGACCTGAATCTGCTGAAGGAAAACTTTTGTAGGTATCCTGGCTAAAAGTTGGACGCACTCAATCTTACAGTTGACTTGGCAGGAAAATCATCGGCCGGTAAAATCACTTCAGACTATATCGCGTCTCAGAGAAATCAACAGAGGTCCCCGGAGATTTGAACGAAAAATTTAAACCAATATTTTTGCATAAGCTAATGAGCGAAATCGATTTTGATTTTTCCTCTATTATATCTAACTGATTCGTCTTAGTGTTCTGTGTCAGCATTTAATTTGAGATGCTAAGCTTCATAGTAGGATGTATTTACTAGACAATCGTCGTTGTCGTCAATACCATTTTCGTGAAACATATTAAAGCTGAATAATTAAATAGATCCTGCTCTAAGATCGTTATTACGAAACGCACGTTCGCCCATGCAAATGCCTAGACCCGGGACAGCGGACATCTTACTCAAAGCAATACGCAACAGAAAAACTCTTCGTCTCATTGCTTTCCTTTCTATAATGTACTTATGAACAGGATTAAACTAACTTCGTTCGGGACAGTCTTATATTTTCTCTCGTTTACGCGAGTGAATTTATTGGTCAGAGGCTGTAGGAGTGGTGAAACCATCTTTTCAAGAAATCAGATTTGAAATTTACCTCGTTGCATGGAGAAGGAAAAGTGTCTCAGGGAAAAGCTAAGAAGATTAGGATTTCGATACGGCCAAGCAGTGCATGTTTAATATTCGTGACTGCTATGGAATACCCCAAGCTAATGTCTCATTCCCACAAAAAGTACTTCTCTAACCTGTTTTAGGATCTGAATCACAGGGATTACGCTTAACGTTTCTCTGCGACGTTCCGTTTTTTTCGTTGTGTACGTACAACGTTTTTTGTTCCTGATGAAACAAAAAGCAGAAATAAGTAACGTTTCTTTGCTATCAGCTAGAAAATCCATAAACATTCTGTCGGGACCACAGTATAGCCATTAGAAAATTTAACATAGCTACTGGAAGCGATCTACCGCTGTTAGCAAAGGTAGACATTGAAAAGAGCAGATTTAGCACGTGTCTGCAGATCAGCCTAGCATTAAATAGTTCCTAGTGTTTTCCTTGCTCCTGCTACTGTCCATTGTTATTGTTACTATTACGAACTGCTATAGAAACATCGAATGCATAAAAGTGAGACGATATCCCTGGCAATCGAAAGTAATAGCCACATACCGGGATGAACTCTCTGGGTCCTCCCTTTTTTGCTATAGGAGTTTACTTAGTATTTTCAAGTGAATGCCTTTTCTAATTGCCGTCAAAGAACGGTAATTATAGAGCTCATTCCAAACTATCGAGCCTAGCAACGGCGCTAACACGGCTTATACTTTTGATTGTGGAGCTTCTTCTAATTCTATACACAAATGTATACGCGAACCCAGCAAATCAATAATGCAATTCCCAGCTTGTCGTGCATTCGAAGTTCGATGTGTACTCTAGTGTGTATTCAAGGTCGACAATACCTGTAACAAATAGGGTACCATGAAGCTCGCAAGTAATCAGCAGAAGGAATTTTATCCCAGTCAATCAAAAGACTGCGATAGGCAGCATTTTCAGGGCAACAAATCGTAGCCGTTTTGTAATTGCATAATTCAGTATTCAAAGTGGGCTCTAGAATAGGTATCGCGTCCTGAACAAAGTTGCTAGTAAATGTTACGAGGGAGACAGGGCGTTTCTTCTTCCCCATCCAGTACAATCGCCGCTCACTCACTGCATCGTGTAGGGCTTGTGTTGCATCTAAGCAGACAGCCACTAAACCTCGACGATAAAAAAAAACCGGAACATTACTAGCAACCGATCGGACTGAAGGTTTTCTTTAAGCACGCAAGGCTGGATTCTGAATCAAGCTCTAATTCCCGCATAGCCTTTTCACAGGGCTTCGCTTTTTCAACTGCTGTGGCTTGGCTTTGCCCGCGATCGCCCCTTTGTTTCCTGCCAACTTGTCCTACCTTTGCAAGAACTCTTCCCTCCCATACAGACGCAATAAGCCGTGAAAGTCGGGGGAAAGCGGAGTCCGCTTTTCGAACCGCTCGGGCGTACGTAATACTTTCAGTGGGGTCCGTTAGCAGATTAGCTCTCTAGTCCTTCGGTGCAAAACTCGCGATGTCAGCACGAGTCAGCTGACTCCGCAGACGAATATAGGCTATATGAGGTACAGTGTGCCGCCATATCAGATGCAGTATCCGCTGTTCCCTATTGCTGGTGCTAACATCATCGATACGCAAAGCCTTAGAATGCGTTTGATACATGAGGGTTGTGCAGCATCACCGGTTGCTGACTTGAAACGGTCGCAGTGGTTTTAATTTTTTCAATGGGGTTGTACTAAATTCTGATACCGATTTGTTGCTGAAAAAAACGTTGTTAGACAAAATAGAATATCATAATGGCTCTCGATTCAGATGAAAGATTATCGCGTTAATAATGGGACGGCACGAGCGTGCTCAGTTAAAACGATACCTAAGTAAACAAGATCACGGCTGTTCGTGTTTACATTGTCCCTGAACATTTCTGTTAGTTAATTACAATGGCAGAGAATAAGGTGAACCATAAAAAGAATTCGGTAAGAGAATAGATTGCATCGATAATCTCCAATTCTGATTGCAATTATATCAGGCCAACCTTCAAGACGCATCGACAGCAATAAGCGGACTTCTCCTTTTGAAGGCATCAATAGGTTTCTTAACGAAACAAATCGTAATCTACTGGCTAATTCCTATATACGAGTGGAGGTAATTCTTGAGGCCGGCCCATAGGTACATCACGGCTGTAGGAAAAAGTGCTGAAGAGACGACGCTGCAATAATCTGAATCAAAACACTGCAGTATAGCAGGACACGATGTCAAGATCAGATGTTCATCTGGACGTCCTACGCTACTCTAGTGGTATAAAGATTGCGTGATTCTGGCTTGCGTGGCCAAGCGCCCGCACTCATAGCTTTAGTAGTAAAGTTCAAAAGACTCCAAAGCCGGAAATCTTTATTTTAACGTCAAAGCGAAGTGTGTGAGAGTTATAACAATTGCTATAGCAAGCTGGTTGTTGCGCTCTTCTTTAGGAAGAATTGCACGAAACCGACGATCGTACGCTCCGCTGTACAGGTTTACAAAAATCAGTCTCGGTAGATGCGATCGTCGGTGTACCTCTGATATTAACAAGCAAAGTCAAAGTTCACAGTTTTGGCAGACAATGAGAAAAAGTAGCAATATGCAAAGGCATGGGATGTGAATGTCCAGCACATGGCACCTATAGGTATTCTCTTGGTCAGTTTCCTATCAGATTATTTAGCAATGCAGTCGATATCGATGTATTGCTAGCTAATTGATTGAAGATTGCTTTATGAATACTAGAATATTCATATCTGATTTCTGATTGGGTCAGAGCTCGTTAAAGATCAATATCGTAAAGATTTATTCATCATAGAACGTCTATAGGTATGTATATACAGAATGGGGCGAAAGTATCTTGACAGCCTAGAAAAACGTAATTTGGCAATATCAGAGTGTTCATTAGATTTCTTTTAATGTTTCCTGTATTAGCTTGACTAGATGTGATCTATCAAGTAGCCTTTGAAACAACATGACCCATGCAACTTATTTAACTCGATGAAGGTAATCCAATAATCTGCCAACACCGGATTAGTTACGCGTTTTATTCGTATTCGTAGTGATAGATGGCCCACAAATTAGCTTTAAGTCTTTAGCAAACTCTGGTCCCACTTGTCTTAAGTCTTTTTACAAAATTGACATCATAAGTTCCCTATGCCTTTAGCCAGCCTTATACATATATTATTATGTCTAAGATCTAGCGCAAACTTACTAAGTAACATTGGTCCTGGCACGTGCCTTTTACATATAGCATCTATATCTACCTCATTTTGGTGTTTTAGGATTATTTTCCTATAGCTACAGCGGCAGGTAACATAGTCTCCACTAGCCTAGGTCGTGACAATGCAAATCTGACGTATGGATCCATACATCAGTCCCCTCTGCTTATTGAGTGTTGATGGTCACTGCTTTTCATAGATCCACAGGCTAGGATCACTCCTTATCGGTTCGACGTTTTTTTGTTCTACTATGTTTCATATCATACAAGATTGTTCGAGAAAATGCAAGGCTAGAACAACGTTTTCGAATTAAAAACAAGCATCTAGATGCGGTAATGTATTACCCTATTAATCTGCGCCAACAAATATAATTTATCAGGTTTCGGCCCAGAAATGTAACTGCTATTAAAGCCAATTTTATAGCAAAAGTGTCGGTAGTAAAGATCGAAGTAATCGTGTTTGGCCCCTAGAGACAACTATTCATACATATGTAACTAGGACAGCACTTATTTACTTAACTTAAATATATGCAATAAATGTAAATGCTTAAGGAATGAAATCCGAATTCGAATGATACTCCTTCGGTACTAGGCGTCGGTTTTTTTTGAAACAGCAAACGGTTATTATCGATACGGTCGTATGAGGAACGACTTGCCAAAGGTTGCGGTATTGGAGCCGAGTAACTATTGCTGCCCAGCTGAGTCTTGACGGATCGGTTTGTTCTCTGTTGACAACCGTACTCTTCTGCACTCCGCGGCATAGTTTCAGCAATTTATTTTCCACTGCGACTGTTTCTAAATAATTGACAACAGCTTAATCAATTGCTCGGCGAACGATATGACCAACTGTGTCATATCTGGTCGCTACGACAACACCGATAGAGTTGCGTATGGTAACGGATCGTGGAACACGTTGATCTGGTTGAAAACGCATCGACTTCGTACTCAGCAGAACGTCACCAGTCTACTGAGATATACATATACTTTACTAGATTTTGATGGCAGATATTCTGTTCTGTGAAACGAATGAAGATTAATAGCCTAACCTTGGTATGCAATGGGCTTGCTACTGTCTTAATGAGAACACCGCAGACTCGTTCCCTCTTCCCTGCATATTTTTCCTAAGCTGATTTATGAGCACGTCACGCTTCACATGTCATTGTGTATTAATAGTTTCGATGTCATTAATAATAACGATGATCAATCAAGCATGTGTTTCAATAACACTTCGGTGCCTAACATATTGGACAAATATGCCCAAGTCGGCCTAGCACGCATTTAAATCTCCAGGTAAACTTTTTCAATTGTTAAGACATGAGATTTTCGTCATAGGAAGTTTTCTTACCGCCTTTAGTCAACCCACAGAAATCATAGCGCTGTTTGTGAGATTACCCCCAACATGTATCCATACATATACACGTTGCTCGTTTAATATGATAGGATAAAAAGCAGTATCTTATCTGTTACGGCAAATCGTCGACACCCCTTGGTGGGGAACTATTCGGATTCCAGACCAATGGGAAGCGAGGCGCCACGTGGCCATGTACGCCATTTGGAAAATCACACTTTCACCTATAAAGTTATCAGCTGAGAACAATTTCGAAAAATTTCGCAGCGGCGCTATATTTTAAACTATATAGAAAGTGTGCCACTCGTATATCATTCACCTAGGCACTAAGTGATTATAGAAATCTTTAATGAAGCTCGTTTTTACCAACGAAGCGTAGGCATTTATAATAATAATAATTCACATTGCATAAAAGTTCCACTCGAGGATTCCACGAACTGCCGTTGATACAGATGAACTTGGGATCAGTTTATTTAATAGCTATTTATTATTTTAGCAGCGATAGAGGTTTCGTCTTTGTTCGTACCTATGTAGATTCAGTAGTCTCAAAAGAATCTATACCGGTTTTGCTAGATACGATTCGTTTTACATCTCACGAACGTCTGTGAATAGTCACATCGGTGCTCTGAGCAGCTATAAGATCCAATTTGTATAATCCAGTAGAACGAAAACGAAGACATACGGATCCAGTGCTTGTAATGGTCTCTGGAAAACAAAAGTCCTTTTGCCTTTTAAAATTTTTTTTTTTTTTTCATTACCAGTGTATTTGTTTCTCGCATTGATTGTTTAAGTAACTAAAATGTGTAGAATTCACAAAGAGATTTTTGAAATCTACCGTTAGTGTTCAGCCAGCCTTCGAGGTAAAGCGAATCGAACGTCCATGACCCACTATTCTCCCAATCAGTTGAAAATGTCTTGTAGATCCAATGGCGCACCTATGATAGTCTTTAGCGATCTGCTAGATAGAGCGGACAATTGGGGGTCGTGGTCCACGAAAGCAGTTAGGTACGCTAAGACAACTGCTCCAAGCAAAAAAAATCTACGACGCTCGTCTTGATTCGTTAGACAATAAGTCATGAGAACGTTTGAAATCTACATTATTTCCATAAATTTCTAACTTGCATAACAGAGAAAACTATGAGTGTTTCGGTCTTAAGCATCATTGGTCGAATGCTGCATTTCCCTGATTCAAATAGATCGCATGGCAACTAACTAGTCTTATTTGGTTCTTAGAATAATTTTGCAATGGGCTTTCTAGCTCGACTGGCACTCTACTAACAATACTTGTTCCGATTTCTTGCTGGAGCAGCGAGACCTAAGCATGATTTGCTATCTATGCATACGTCCTGTTGACCTGCACACAGGCTAGAAACCGAAAAGTTGCTTTTCCTAGGAAGGCTTAGCGTTATGTGGAGGTATTGTGGGAGTATGTTCAAGTCTAATGTCAGAAGAGGCTGCCTAAGCTCCTTGATACGCCAGTCTAGAAATGGGATAATTCATTGTCAAAATTGAAATCCAATAATCATCGTACAACTGCGTAGCGTAAATTATAAGCAGATTGAGGTATCATCAATCAATCCTATGAAAGAAGGCACCGATAAACGTGGTAACCGATCTACTGATTCATAATGAGGCAGTAAAGTTTAAGTTAGAGACGTATTATCTATCCTCCACCACGCCGTCAATATGCATTCCCACTGGGTTACGCTGCTTGCGAAACCGCCTGTAACGAATATTCCGGCTAATTCATTCAGCGAACTACACAGAATTTTCAACTTTTTTCACTTTTCGCTCTAATTAAAAGCTTAGAGTTTCGTTTAGTAAGTTGAACATTTATAGGAAACTTGACTGCAGTTAACGACTGTCTGTTGAGTATCCAGCTGTGTGTAAAGCACTTACTGAAATGCGTTGTAAAGTGTCAGGAACGATTGCGATGCTAGCTTCTCTGCAGAACTTACCTTGTCTTGGCGAGATCCGCTTGTCTGCTATTGCTCCTATAAAGTTTGCAGATCCATCTGTACAATTGTGTGTATATGTCTCCCGGCAGCGGTCCAGAACAAGAAAACCCATTAGCATAGCATCTATGACAGGAATCCGTTTGCTCATTTAGGTCGTTTGGAAAGAATAGCCGTATGATGTTTTGTAACGATTGCGTTTGTTGCATTTTAAGAACATCTTTCTAATAAATCGATCTTCGAGCCATTTACAATAAAAATCAAGCTTTACAGACGATAGAAAGCCATCTCTTCAACAAGTCACTCGCTCAAATGTCTTCTAAGTTACTCTTCAGTACGGATCTCCGTTTGTCTGTGCTGGCGAGGCTGTATCGTATGATGCGTACGACTTTATATGGATGATATTGGTTTTTTAATAAGGTAACACTGCGCGGTACTAGCACGTAGCAATCTTTGCTAGAAGTTAGGTACTAGCAGACGAGACACCTCACCATGCCTGATAGTAATAAACGTATTCTCTGTAGACATCGTGAAGTAGCTAACACTTCCGATAGTACTCCTAATCGTATGGTTTTCAAAGACGGAACATAAAGCCCAAATATAGAAATAATAAAATCAACATTATTATTTTTTCTAGTGAAATTATTTAAGAACAAAATCGATTTAAAATCAACCCTTGATATGTTAACACTAGCATATTATTTCCATAGCTCGGATTCACATAATAAATCTGAGATGCAGATGGAGTTAATTGGTTAACTCATCACATTTCATGCCAGATTCATTGTGAAGCAGTACTAAATATAGTGAAGAAATACATGTTTGGGCTTTATTGGGTGGCTTGATGGGGACGCAACAACGTACACTGCTGTACCACATAGGTCCGGGGCAATCACAAACAGATATATAAGATACAAGCTATACATCACACAACGAACAATCAGTCATCTGTTAAACAGAGCGACAGGCTCAATTAACCATTGAAGCAATGACAACAAACGTTTGTGATGGATCCTGTTGACCCGATCGGTCTCGATCTCATGGTAATCTAACGCAAGACGATGCAGTCTTATCCAGATCCTAATGTTAGCCTTAATGGGCTACAGATATTGTGCACGTCTACTGACTTTCACATCAGTGTAAACAGACGAACCTTAAATACACCATTAGATGATGTCAGAAGCTCAACGAGCTTAGCGCACCTGCTATTGTTCAACCGGAACATTCAGCAGAGGTCTCTTCGAATCAAAATAGCGTACCTACATTTGGCCTGATCGCTGCGCTCGTGGCCAAGGTGCGCATTGCCTATTTAGGAACAGTTTAAGCAATGCTACAGTCACGTTGTTGTCCCTGTAACGGTGATGTGAACATCGAACGTGACAAGCCAAGACATAACCTTTTCGAATTATCTTAATGAGAAGAATCATGTCCCAGACAAACGGAGGATAGATCTTTGCAGAATGCACTGCAGTACCACGCGATTAGCTTCTTTGTAGGTATTTTTTAGGAGGAAAAAGCGACTATGTGAAGCTACTTGAGGGATTTTTTTCTCATCGATACCCTTATGAGGTTCACGCAACTGTACACCTATACAGCTCTTTTCAGCACCATAATCTAGATACCAAAATCACGCCATAGTCAAGCCATGTTTTCTGAATCGCTTCCTTTGTGCCCCATGACCTGATCTGATTAGGTTGCGTGAGCGAGAAATGTAAAGAACGGTATATGTAAAGAATCAATTTAATAATTCTATGTGACAGTTACAAAAAAAACCAGAACTTTTGCTCGTTTCGATACTAGCGGCGGGTCGTGAAATATCAATAAAAATCATGTGGAAGGAGCCTTGTTATTATGTGAACGGCACATGCAACTTTGCCTCCTATTACCCAGAACCTTTTACATTTACCTCCCGGAAATTAACTCCCAGAAATTCAATTGTTTCACTATTTACTGTTGAATTTCGCGAAATTGTCGAAACGATAAGTCGGTAAGAGCAAAAACACTCGTATAAAAAAGCTTCGGATCAATTTTACGTTTGACGCAGAACTTTCTACCTCGGTGGCAATGGTGCGAGCAACGATGTGATTGCTTTCGGTAAATTCTGGTACGTTCTAGGGGAGCCCCGTTTATCGGGCATATTTTATCGGACAACGTGGCTTTCATACAGATTTCAAGTGAATTATATAGAGTGAAGCTATTTTTTCAAGACGTGTACTAGGGGTCCCAAGAGAGAGATACCAAATCACAATGACTGGTGGCCTATATTTGATAAAATAGGAAAATTAAAAATAATATAACTGAATTCGGTAGCTATCATACCCACAATATAGTTCAGTAAAAAAAAAAAAATTTGGAATCTAATAGTAACATGCCACCTGATTGTTCATCTCTAGTAATAGTTTGTTATAGTTTGCAAATGTGGCTCGCCTACAAATGCTACAAGCGGTAATTTCGTTCGACAACGATCGGGACATAGCTGTGAGGTTCGCTCGCGCCAATCTTTAACATAATTTTCAAAACAACAAGTGATACTACGAACGAAATGCTTTCACGACCCCATTGACATTGTAAAACAACCATAAGGCTAGATGATCGCGCCATAAGAAAAACTGCCGTTAACAAACAAAGTGCTGCAGCCAGCAACACGTAGACAAGCATCGTCCTGCTCCTCCTCGACCCCAACCACCTCCATGCGCCCCTGTCATAAATCCACAAACGCAAAAGTGCCCCTTTACTTCTTCTGCTTTTTCTCGGTGACCGCGCCTATGATCCTGGTGTACTTTGTACACAACATGCGATACTGCTTGGGCAAACGATGCGACACTTTCCGTTTTACCGGAAGTCATCCATGAGCTGTCTGCTTTGCTCTGCCCAACCCAGACCCGGCGTGCGCACTAATATCCGTTTCCTGTAGTAGGCCGTTAGCCGTACTGAAGCTAATGTGATTTAGTTATAGCGCGTACAAGAACGATGACTACGGACGTGTTATCAAAGATAGATAATTCATATATTCGGAAATACGCCGATCGCTAACCTGACAAATGGCTGCGTACAGTTGGGGCTTACCCCCAGGGTGGAACAGCATTGTTTAGTTTTAGATTGTTATAGCCGTATTAAGTAAGTTTTATTAAATGAAGAATTCAACCGGTAAGTGTGTGAGTGTTGAATAGGCGCAATGCTTTTGACAGTGTGTATACAATGCTTGGATAGTTCGGAGTTGTGATTTACCTGAAGCTGTTCCGTTACGCAATATTCGAGTACTATGAGAGTTAACAGGCAATGTAGTGATTCGAGCTTCTCGAAATTCCAGTCAGGATGTCACTCTTGACGCAGATATCATAATTATCCATAGGCAGATACTTATACAGCGGGATATCTTTTTTCTCTACTTCGGCAAGCGTCCGTAGAAGAATTGGAAGCCCACTTTGGAGACATGAAATTCAAGCTCAATCACCAACTCACTCTGCAACAGGAAATGCTGTAGAAGGACGTACGTGGTCACATCGGTCAGCGAAACGTTACCGCCCTTACCGGCAACGCCTCGTAAGAGCAATATACATATATATATATATATATATATATGCAAAGATGCCTTCCCGGCATAAAAAGTAATTTACTACGTAGGTCGAAGGCAATGTCGCTCGTCACTACTCCTTATGAGTCAACTACTTCACTTGCTGGAGCTCATCTTCTATCTAGTTTTAAGCATCTTCTGCTTCGCCATTGTCTTACATAGAGCGCTCTACGTTACGGATGCGGGAACACGGATATTTAAGGACGATGTTCGGATAAACTTAGCTTGTAATTTATCCGGATGCAAAGCGCATTGGTTTATATATGGTCTTTGTATAAAAGTTTTCAATTAAATAAGAAAAGACTTCAGGTAAAGTAATATTTGAGGCGAAATCGGCAAGGGTAGAAAACATATTAGAGAGGATGCTGCGTACGTCAACCTGCTGTTGTTTTTGTTGTTAACTGTAGATATTTCGCAACTATTTGGTATAAAACACACCAAATACTACACCAGAGAACATATGACGTTTATTTGAATGTGTTCATTCATTTAAAATGGTAAAAATTGAGACGGATGCCATGATAAGTTACGTTGCAGACACACGAAAAGACAGCGCAGCGTTCCAGCACCTTCCTTTACCTAACGTACTCTGGAGTCTACCTTCATTTGAAAACCAATGAATCAGATCACTTGAGCAAAAGTTTTATACTTACATAGTGTCTGAATTAGGTTAATTCACCATGGATGTCTAATGTTTCCTCCATTTACATCTATAGTGTTAGCTTTTCACTGTGTATCAACTTAGCAAAACTTCCGGATGCCTATATATGCGCTGATTTATAACAGGTAGCCTCATCGATTTCATTGCTTGTCGCTCGCTTGATGCTTCTGCCCGCCTAATCAAATCAAAATAGGTTAGGCCGGTTGATGAGAGTTGCATCGTTCCGTAACGGCTAACACGTTCCGTGATAAGTTTTATTGATTTTATTGGAAAATTCCATGTATCAAAGGGGCCACGGTATGAAGTGGCAGATTTTCGAAAATGGATAAATATGCGAATTGTTTTTTTCTGGTTACTTAGCTCGACAGTACATATTCATACATACATAGCTTATATATCAAAACAACAAGCGTCCGCTCGCAAATCTGACAACGGTTGAATTATGATCATCTCAGATACCTAATCGGATACGAGTCCCTATATTGATAACACGAAAGATCATTAGTACGAAAATACGGGTACCCCATATTGACCTTAGGCTACGCAACACCCCCTTGGATAAGGTCGCGCTGCTGATGAACGTGTCCAATGCCCGCGTCACAATGATTTGCGTCTACTTCGTATGGGCTTACGAAATCCTGATGCTTTCAATTACCTTGTTAAAGGCGTTCAACATACGGCGGTAGTAACGCTGCCGAACTATAATGAAGAACTATAGACAAATTATACTACTATACACTGAGCCATATTTAGTAACTAGGATAATGATGATTTGGACGAACTTTCAGTTGCCGTATAGGCTCGTCGGTAGACATTAACTACCAGGCAATTCTGAAACTACTCGCTCTGGTCCCACATGAGTTCCCATACATATGAACTAGCTAAACAGCTACTAAGTCGATGAAATTTTCTTAGAATTCATACCAATCACTAGCTTTGATTTCTAGCCATCCCGCTAGATGGCGCAACTTTCATTTTCAATCGTTCATTCTAAAGGTATATGTATTGCTATTGATCCCTTTGTGTATTTGTGAGCGTTCGTTCTAAGCCGGCGACTCGAAGGACTACGAGTTCCCTATCCGAAGTACTGATCACCAATGTGCAAAACGATAATGTGTTGACGTTTCACATTGCGACAACGCCGTGTACGTCTCAAGTGAACCGGGCGTGATCAATGAAAGATCGTCAAACCCACTTTTTAAATTGTCCGGCTGCTTTTTACGTGTACTCGTAAAATTCAACGTTGGTAACGATTTCCGACACAATTATTTACCTTAGTATAAAACTATTTCGTATCCGGTAATCTTGATTACAAGTTAATACGACACTTTGATGCACTCAACAAATTGTAGTTTCTAACTATCGACGAAAAATTGAAATGAATAGACTAAGATATCTTGAAACTGTGAGATTTGGTTTGTACACCCCATTTCTAGATACGATACTATAAAGTATACTTTGTTTTCGAATGAACAATACGTCTTTCGCTTCTAATACAATCGTAACTGTCCTATATTCTTTTTATAGTGGACGCTTTGGCCATATTTACAATGGAAATTGCCAACGGAGCGAGCATTAATATTTGACAAGGCCGCGGCTTCAGGAAGTTTTCTTTATGTATACACGTATAATTTGAAATAGAAAATTACTTTCTGATCGAACAAAGCAGAAAGCAAGCTTCTTGCTCTACGTGCGCTGCGCTTACGAAAAAAAAGATTATGTTGTTTTCAAATCAAGCGGGCAAATCGATTAGATTATTCGAAAAAAGAAAAAAAAATTTGGGGGGGATAAAAAGTTATTTGACTTTCTGGTTAGAAAAGTAACATCGCCTTAAATGGACTTCTGGGATTTGTAGCCTGAAAAACCGATGACAGTTCAGTGCTACGAACAAACCATGTACAGACGTGCCAGGATAACCTAGAACCTTATGAACACTGACATGGACCTGAAGCGGCGTAAAACTGAAAATCCTAAACAGGAGCTTTGAGTTCGTGAAGGACGTTTTTAGCTATCATCTGCTAATGGAGATGACTAGGGATAGATTGCTTCCTATCTGTTATAGTCGTATCAAAGGAGCTTGTTCTCTCTTTTCGACATAAAGCTCGCAATAACGAACGTAGCAGACGTTTCAGGACTACTTACGTAGCAATTAACAAAATAGTTATATAGGGGTCCTAAGCTAGCTCAGAAAGGAGATTCCATTTATCGACACAATTGCACTACGGTACATTTGAATCTATTTTGTAGATAGATGGTTAACAAAAGCTATTGGATTCAAGAAAGGACAAACGAAGAGCATGGCGGCACGAAATTCTACGTATGAAACATAACTGGCGGTAGGTACGCTATACGATGGCGATTCTACTCTTATCGATAACATAGCTGCTATTATTTCTAGACAACGTACTTACGTTGCTTTGTTGTTGAACACAGTAACTTATTTATACATTGTTTTTCACTGCTGCGGCGGTTTAGCTCCAGCCGTTCGCTCTGTCTTGAGGTAGAGGTACGTCCCTATTTCCACCCTGTTCCATGCCAAATTTCTATTGTCGACTTGAGAGTTTTTTGTTCACCAGCTCAATTCTAAAGTGAACCTGCTCACTTTTCAGTAAGGGGGGTAAGTTTTGCTAAACTTATCTGCGGTTTCGCTTACAGGCCTATAAAAGAACGCTATAGTAACAACAGGTCACAGTAATTATTTGCCTACGTTAGAATTTGAACTATTAACAGGCGCACGTTCATCGTTACCATGGTAACCCATTAAAGGAACTTCGCGTTAGCTTTCCTGTCAACGCCGGCCCTCGTAACTGAAAAGTCAAAAAGTACAAGTTACCAAGAAAGCAAATCGCAGCGTTCTATCACCGTTCAAATGAAGCTCCGCACTATAGATGTTTACATGAAACAGCATGAGGGTATAATATAGTAAAAAATTTACGGTGCATTGCTGAGGGTGCCCACGTGATTGGTACCGCCAACGCTGAGCGCAAAAAGCCAACCACTAATAGAATCAAAGATGCCATCGGCAAATAAAACCAACATTAGTTTTGGCCTCCAGAAATTATAGAATGGAAAGGCCGACAGAATCAAGGACAAACCAGACCAGATAAAAATTAACATCGATTTCAGGATTCAGAAGATTGCTCCTTAAAACGAAATCGCTACCGAAAGAATAGTAGTTCTGTTGCGATTTCAGCCAAGAGAAAGTACGGCAAAATGGCAAACTTTCTTTAGTGCCTAATGGGGCGATGATTTCAACACGATCTGCACCTAACATACTCTACTAAGTACAACAACAGTCAGGATACAAATCCTATTCGACGTTTGGCGAAGAGAGACTATAGGGTCTTATCTAAATAAGCACTTCAATATATGAACGCAATTAAATCTCCTGCCAATCGAACGCATTTGACATAACTTCCAAATAGGAAGTTGGACTAGACACCGTACATAACAGCTCTACAAGTTCTTTTCGATGCGGCGGATAGAAGTCCCATTAATTTCTACAAGAGCCGACACTCGTTCAGACGGTAAATCGTATGAGTGGCACAATTATTACAGCCGAGGTGAGCAAAAATGCCAGCTTTATATACATAGTTAGATTCTACGATATCGTTTATTTATCGCTTCACTAAATAGGAATAGCAATCAGTCGTCAAATAGTTTTCCAAAAAAAAACGGCAAAAGTATGGCCATAGTTTTACTGTTTTAACCATCGACACCTTGCATTTGAATTCAGTAGCACTTAGACATAATCTTTAACTTAAACAACTAGGTACAGGTTTTACCCGCATTTCACAGTCAATATTCCCAGCAGAAAATACAATTCCAACAATAATGACGAAAAAAGCCAATAACGTAATTTTGCTAGCAGGAAGACTCACGTAAAAAACGTGCCTCACAGCACATTATAATACTTCTGGCTACGACACGACACACATCTGCAAATCTGTCTATAAATACACGGCTATAGCTGACTAAGCAGGCAGCGACCGGGCCGGCTTCTGCACAGTTTCTAATGAAAAAGTCTGTCAGACCAAAGGGATGTAGCTCGGGGCAGCAGCGTCGAGGGCCGTTGAGCTATCAGCGGTCATCGTGACGTCCTTGGCCAGCACGTAGACAAGCCCGATAGGCCAATGACCGTTACACGACAGGACTAGCGACAACTGAGGCAGATCACTGGCATCGCCGACAAGCAACAACTCAAACCCGATAAAAAAACACCCTGTTTACCACGACAGCCGTTTGTTACTGCTGATGCTGAAGGAGAACATTCTAGGCATAAAACAAACGAGCAGCTACAAAGATAACTGAGATAATAGTACCGGCGTTAGCAAACACCGAGTGGGAAAAATATAACAAAAACAACAGAACCGCAAGTAACCACGAAAGAAGGAACGACGACAAAGTTCTCACGTAGCAACCGCTATCAGGACAATTGCATCGCCCTCTATTAGATTTTGATTTTTTTTAATGAAAAAAAGTCTAATTTGATGGTGGAATACTAGCGACTATAGCAATTGGGTATTATTCAGCGATCTGATGCTTCATAAACTGACATCAGTATGGCATAGAATAAAGGTGTGAAGCCAATATTTTGGTTTTAGTGATTGAGTCGGCATTACTCTGCTACAACCAGATATATTAACACGATCGAATAGAAATAAATACGCAGCCCCAGGGCAAAAGTTGTGTTAAAATACGATTATTGCGTGAGAGCGCAATAATCGTATTTCATATTAGCGTGAGAAGGATTGTCTAGCGCAGCGAGTGTGATATTTATGCTTGTTTTTGGAGTTTTGTAAGTTTGTTATTCACACCAATTGCGTAGTAAATATATATATATATATATATATATGCATAGTAACTTGGGATCTTCGCTTTTCGAGGCAAGCTTCTGTTATTTAGGCAAAAACTTCTAGTCGACCAGCTATTTTTCCTTGAAACCTTATTTAGCCTACTGTCATTTAAAGGCCTCACATGTGTCATTAGGCCTCTCGGAGCCGCGACCGCTTTACAAACGATGTTATAAAAAAGAAATATCCGACGCCCACGTGCATTGACATCGGAAACATGCCAATCGATTGTGGGCAGACTTTATAGATTCACGAATCAACAAGATGTCACTCGATGTCTTCGTTACTCTACCCATTAATCCAACTAATCTACTTTATGTTTCCATGGGCGAAAAATGCGGCATATCTATTTGGAGCATTTATTCTTATACACATCTAAGCTACAAGTTATTAACTTTTTTTTGCGTTTCAAGAGAATACAATGGCTTATTTACATGAACAGTGATAAGCCTAAGTAGACCCTATCCATATCTTTCGTTTTGATAGCTTGTTTGACTCAGAGTTCGTCTGCTATTTGACGAGCAGAACACAACAGGGACTGGAAATTCAGTCCGGGCGAACGCAGGCAATGCCTAAATATTCTCGTTTGTCATTCCTCAAATAGCCTTAGACCCGTTGTCGCTTATATCTGGTTCTTGATTTTTTTGCCACTATATACCGGTTATTTGGGTCTGCCCCAAATGACAGTAATTGTTAGTTTTTTTTAGGGCTGAAGAGTTGACTTAAGTAGCCGTAAACTTACCGCTGTCTGCTTTTAAACGCACATTGAGAGCTGGTACCATCCAGCCAAAAGTGCATTTTTTTGTCAGCCAATCCGCGAATTGGATCTGATAAACGTGTCTACAGGGTAGCCTAACAGGGGTTTTCACAAGCAGCCCAACAGCGGTTCGCGAGTCGACGGACCATCTATTCATTGAGTAACTGTTTACGTGGCAAAAAATCTTTACCTCGAATAGAGGGAGTTTCACTTTAAAGATGAGGGTGTCTGTAGATTTGTTTAAATTTTAGGGTAAACGACTGGTTCGGTAAGTATCTGGCCGTTTAAGTATCGTTTTGAAACTTAAATGAACGCAGTGATCTGCCCATCTTCAGACGTATCACTCCTTTCTTTCATAAGCGTTAAGAGGTCATTGTATGCATGGAACTAGCTGATTGGCAACATTTCGAAATTTGAGGCCCTGAACATGGTGTGTTATGTAGTAGTCAAATATACGTCAAGGGTACGAGTGCACAGTACCCTCCCGTAATGTCAAGCGTTGTTATATAACTCGGTGACGTAGTTTTCTACGGTGAACCTTTGAGATATTTTGCTAAAATGTTGTCAGCGCCTACACCGTAGTCCACCCACGGTCGTAGTGCCATTTCTAGCTGTAGATATTAAATGATGTGCTACCCGTCCGACAATGTGCTCGATTTAAATATAGAATAACGTTCAACCCTGTCGAAAAATAACTTCACGCCGTGGGCCTAGATATGACTAAGGGTCTTGGTACAATGATGTGTAAGGGACAAAAAAGCAAGGGAGATTTTTTTAAGATGTCGTAGATCAATTACGTTTTTTTCATTCGAGTCATTTAATGATTTTTAGATTTGAGGTACATTTTATAATGATTCGAAAACATCTAGACGCACCCCAAAACCTGATCACCTCCGTAACTGCTAAAACCTTGAAAATCCCACCAAATTGTAATTCACAAGATGATTCTTTGTGATTTTTTCCAGTGATTGGTTATTATTAAGTATCTCCGATTTAATAAACAGGTTGGAAAATACGCAACTTGAAATATCAACCTAGAATTTTACGATTGTGGATGATAACGCAAAGCAAAAAAGAGTATTTGCGTAAAAAGCCGATCTTGCACATTAGGCGTCATACTCTCTACACGCATAAGCTGAAAATATAGGAAAACAAATCGGTGCGAAAAATCGATGGCAGCATAACTTGAAACATCGGATGTTCTATACTAAGTATAATTTCGTTTAATGTAGATATTTATATTCAGTACATTTCGCTTTATAGTGACCTGTCAAAGCCAGACATCTGCAGGCGGGCTTAAAGTAGTAAATGTTCTCTTCTATTGTAAGGGAAATAGATTCAGCCACGCCCCTGCTTCTGCTGGCTTTAATCCCTGACTATCGATAAGGATAAATTCTGGATATGTGCCTTAAGTGTGACGTATAAAATTCATCCTCGTCAGTTGGAACTACATAGACAGGTGGGATCTCTATAATAAGCGACCTCTGTTTAGACGATGCTGCTCTCACCTACAAATAACGGACGGCAAACCACTCGTTAGAACAAGCCGCAGCCTTCACAGCTGACTTGTTTCGTATGCATTATACATACAATCAATGTAAAAGTGGTTGCTCAATCAATGTTCAACTGTCATCATCGAAATTCTGTTTTTTTCATTCTTTTGGTTAAGTCGTCAGAGATTTGGCGCCTTCGGCGATCTGGCCTCGATCATTACTGCACAAGTTGCCATTAAAGCTATAACAATGTTTTTCAGACATCTGACAGACAATGACATCTATCTAGATGTGTTAAGCCTTGAGAATATTGTCTTAGCCAAAAAAAACTGTCTAGAACCTGCTTCGTCATTTCGATGGCGTAATCAAATTTTATACAATGGCGTGGGCCTGTAAAGACAGCAGCGAAAGAAATGCATACAGTTAAATACTGATTTTCATCGGATGTCTCTGATCATGCGACGTTCTCGGTTGTGTTAAGCGTCTTGTCGTTCGCTGCATCTGTACATGGGAGTACGATTCCATGACGTTTACCTCGTCACTCGTTATCGTTCCCGTATACAGGTCTATTTGTGTGACTATGTATTTATACTTCAGTCTATTTACGATTCGTGACTGCCACGTCCCCGACGTCGGTTTCTCTGACGTGTCCAAATGGTTCCGATGCGCTTTCCATTAATTTAGATTAACACTTAGCAGCCAGACACGTCAGCTCAGCACGATATACCCATAAACGGTTCAATACTTGCAGACAGAGCGATAGAAAGCTGGGTTTCATTGCATACTGCGATATTAGTATCGATCACCGCAGTGACCCCGTAGCAAAAATCGAACTAAACAACACACAAGTTTTTTGTTAGAAAAAAATCCTAGTGTTTATGTCAACACTTGCAGCTAGTTAATCAGTAATTATGCTTGGGCAAAATGCTATTTTATGGGCTTCTTGGGCTGGCGCTAGTGTGTTAGTAAAATGTTATAAGAATCAACACGCAGAGATAATATAGATTGTAGATATTCTGATGCTAAAAGTATGTGCATACCAACAGGCCTATGTGTACATAATTGTCTTTTAATTAGAAATCATGTCAGTTTCAAGGGGTTCTCTCAAATCCGAAAATAAGATTTTAATAATAAGCGTGCCTTAAACGACGTCGGTAAACGTAAATTCACTGCGGCGTCGCTTACATATGCCAAACACACATATACTAGCCCAAATACTAAATTTGGGCTGATAGCAGATTAGAAGCTACAAAAATGCAAAGGCCTAAAACGGGCCAATAAGCAAAAAAGGTGCAAAAAGGCGCAGAAGATCTCAAAAAGACGAACCGCTGCAGATTTTTTAGATGACCCCATAGAAATTGACCTTCTGCTTCTGAGAACGACTGCACGAGTTTCTGAGAAAAAAATTCCAGTGTGTATCAAACTTGGCTTTTGGGCGAATTTTTAATTCATTCTCGAGATCCCGAAGCTGAACTCGATTGAGAATCTTCTGGTTTGCTTCCTCTGGGTCCTTCTCAAATTTTCCAGAAGCCGCACGAAAACCGCATCGATTTCGGACGAAAAAGGAACTTTAAGGTTCTCGGTAGAGGTTTATCCATCGCAAAAAGATTGGACAACGGCTAAGTTCCGCTCAAGTTCCCAAAACAGCGCAGTGTTCTTCGCATGACCGATTTGTTGTTTCCTTCTAAAAAAACTGGCTTTTGTTTGCTAGTAAAACCAACGCACGCTCGAAACATCTTGTAACTTTCTTTACTACTTTCCAGTGTTTATTTATCTCAGGGCAGAACGCGAACATGGCACTGCCTAGCTGGCACAGCAGGTATTTAGAGCACAAATATGGCTGTTACCCTAATTATTGTGCTCTTTTTCTAACCGCTATCGTTGAACCGTCAAATATACGTCACGATCGTTGCACAACAGTAACTGTGCTAAACACTTTTTAGGTTTATTATATACATATGCAACAGTACATATAACGATAATAGTTGATAAAATAGTGTGGGATTGCGATGTTTTACTCATACTTCTACTTGTGTCGTAAACGAGAGACCAGTTTTGCGGTTGATGTCCAATCCCTCCCCGTATTTCTAAGACCCGTTTGGTGCGGGCTTCAATTGCTCTTCCGCAGTAAATTAAAGAGGGGAGAAATGTCGACTATGTGTACGCAGTGAATTGTTGAATTCGGTCATTGAAAAGTGGCTAGTTTAAGCATAAACAAGTTCAGCGTCTGTCATTGAATATGCTCGCGGAAAAAGTTCTCATAGACTTCATACTTGCGGCCTCAATCCACTTCGGAGCGATAGCTGGCAACTCGGCATGAACAATGATAAAATAAATAACAAACTTCTCGAGCTTTTACAGTCAATACATCGTCATCCATAGCCGATTGAACTTTATAGCATCCCAGCGAGAACATAATGTTACAAGGTGACATAGCGTAACCATAATACATCCGTTCAATATATAAAGGTGTTCCTGTTCAAATGTTACTGACCACAACTACCGAAAATGTTACTAATGGAAGCGATAGTAATCTTCTTTTTATCAAACAGATAGTACTAGATTGGATCGGATAAGGGTGGCTCAGCGGCGGGTCGGCTAGTGCAAATTACTTACTTAAAAAAAAATTCTTTTATTATATCAGATACTCCCCCCGCCATCGCTGATCGCTGCTATTGTAAGCAAAAAGCTGAAAACAGCTTTGCTGTATAGCTGCTACTGTTGCTTGGCCGCTGTTAACAGAAGCAACGGAAAGCTGAGGAGCCGGGGGTCCTTGTCCCCTTTTACCTCCCACTTCGATGGCAGCGATCGTAGTGGCGGCGACTCCGCGGTGATGGCTGAACTGCGTGAAATCGAACGCCGCCCAGCTAAGCTGGCGCAGGTAGTTGCACGACTCTCACCCACACTGAGCTATCCAGGAGCCTCGCGTGTTGTACCGCTTGCTTAATGATGGCATTCAGCGTGGCATCTGGCGGCAGTAAATGACGGTCCGCAAAAGATAACCAACTAGCCAGCCAGCCAGCCAGCCAGCCAGTCAGTCAGTCAGTCAGTCAGCCAGCCAGCCATCGTCCCCAGGCGTCTCTGATTCGACCAGGAGCCGTGTACACTGATGGGGTAGACGCGCTATGCCTTCGAGCCGTGTCCATGACTGAACGCGGTGAAGACTCCCCTGCTTTGCAGTATTACATTTAGCAATATTTGTCTGGCGTGCAGTGTAGCACAGAACATATTGCCTAGAAGAAACACACGAAGGAATCCTTACTTCATCAACTTAAGCGATTTAGAACGAGACACACACGGAAAGAAGGACAAGATTTGAGTCACCTATCTCATTGAGCAATTGTGAGATTTGTCCACGCTTCGACGTGCATAGATGTTGATAAAGAGATAGATAGCAATTCGATCTTGTGAAGCCTGTAACAGGTGACCGAGAGGGAAAATTGACATATGGAACGAAGATTTTAGCCAACCGGTGCAAACAAAAGTTTCAATGTTTATCGCGGCCGAATATCATATGATTTGTGTGATGATATTGAACGCCGTGCGAGTAGTGCCTCTCTTTGATGTTTATGACGGATAGTATTTATGATTGTGATGGTGAACGATACAGAAATGTGAAGGCATTATGGGGTAACTATTCGACCAGAAGTGAATACCCCAAGATACTACCTGTGGATATAGCTTACTCATTAAGTATAACGATACGATCTGAAGTCGAATACTAATGTTGTTTAAAAATGGTATAGAACTGTCGACACGGCATAGTTATTGCTTAATCATCTCCTATACCCCACAGTTTTTTTTTTATATACTATGTTAACTTTAATCCCTGGTGTGTTTCTTAAACGTGCTTCCTTTTCTGCTCATAAGGCAGGACGTGAATTGAAAACCTTTCAGGACATGCTTTGTTTCTTTAGAATTGGAAGGTTTGCAAAGTACGAATTCATTTTTTCAGTTCACCTCTCGTATTGTTTTTAATATAGCTTCATTTTTGAACGGCAATGAACTGGAGCTCTTAAGGGCCAGGACACGCATACGCTGCACGAGCATCAAACAACATACCGCTTAACGACCACAACTCATTTGTGTGCAAGTCGTATGGAGCCATTCTGCAACAGAGTGCGTCTAACGGGAACACTGAGCTACGCAAAAAAATCTCCAGTTTGGACCTTTTTCCATCTTTTAGATACCTAGAACAGGCCTGCAATCGCTTTAGTAATATTCAGCTCCCATGCATGGGGCCGTTCTAATCGAAAACTTGTTTCGTTCGCCGTATTTACTACGAATATTTTTCTACTGATTTTTTTCTAGATGAACCAAATTACACTTATATATGAATGAAATGAAATGAAAATTACCTAAAAAAATGCGGTATACGACCGACGCTAAAATAATTTTTTTTTTTGTTTCGAAGTTTGTTAAATCAGTAACACAATGCCAAATTGAAAGATAGTTGAGAGATCGCAGACTCGTTAACAGTTGTTTTTCTCCACGTATTTTTGGAGCATAAGCTGACTAGTGTTTGCACTGTGTCATTCATTCGCCCAACACTAGAAGGCTCGGGCGGAGTTCGATTAATCTGACTCCGTCCGTTCTTCGCTCGTATGTTTAGAAAAGATCATATTTTTTTCTTCAACCAAAAGGAACCATTAGAAACGAGTCAAAAGGCAACGCAACCCATAAGAATTTTTATGGCCGTACTATCGCCAGCCCTGTTTCTAAAAACTGAAATCATATGCAATTTATCTTGTTTTTATGACCTTTGTGTCTTTTTCGGGCATTTACCTGCGTTTGCAGTCAAGGACATATGATATTTTCTCTACTCGTCGGGATTGTTTCCATGGATATTATTATCGGCAGGCGGTCGCAGTTACCAGCTTACCTATAAATCCATAGGACGAGATGTGTAGTCGGTGGCATCAATGCTTCACAGAAGACAACAGCCTGCATGTGAGTGCATGTCGTTGTGTGGTATTCAAATGAGATTCTTCATAGTTTTCATTTTTAGCCTGGAAGAGAACTCTGGCTATTTAGAAATTCGCTTTCCGCGTTAACAGAACTATAGAGGCCGCTAAAAAAGTTGGACTATCTATTCATGTGGCGCTGGAGAAGGCTCGAAGAAAACTGTCGATACTTTAAGCATCGAGAAGGAACACACAACAGGGCTAAATAGGTACGTACGATAGGTAACAGTAACCTTATTTCCCAGATGCACGACTGTAATTCTCAGCAACGTTCTGGACGTAACGGAATGCTCTTATAGTACCAATTTATAACCCCACTAAGTGAGCAGCCTTGCTACGCTGTCATAAAAGCACAAAGCGGAAATTGCCAATACACGTCCTGCCCATTTTGCCCAACCTTTGTTTTGTGCCATCTAGCTAGAATCGGCGACTTCAACAGGGGCCAATTCTAGATTGGCTTTTCGTATGTTCATGTGTCAAAATTCGAAAGAAAAAAAACTATTTCTGCTTTGGCATGTCGCTGCAGGCTTTCAGGTTTTCAATTGGAAATCTTAGAGCTAATGATCTAAACGATTATCAGCGGTAGAAATTCGCTCAAGCTGTAGCCAATATACGCGAACAGCGTACATATATTAACTAAATAGGGTACATTTCTATAAATGACGCTTTCGGGGAAAATAACGTTATTTGGTTCAAAATAACTTGACTTTTCGATTCAAAATGGGGATTAGATTTTTAGCGTCAGACTAAAGCGCTAACTTTCGTCTGTCGCTGATTGTGTCAGATTAAAGTAAACTATCAGAAATCTTTGTGGAATCAATTAAATTTACCAAAATTGCACCGCTTCCTTAGCATTTTAATAGCCTAGTACCCGTGTCCTACTGTCGCGTTCGAGGTCCAATTCAAATATGAGCGGAGAATATTTGTATGAATAATATTGTCCTTTTACAGTTCCTGATCTATAGTTGCAGTTTCGCTGACAGCATCGGTACAGCCTTGAGTTATCATGCGCCTTGGCTCCAATTTTGAATAAGTGACCATAACACCTTTCGAAGAAAGCCTAGGTAAATAAAAATAGGAACAAAATGTGTCGTACATAAGATTGATGCGTTTGTACGCACCGCGTCATTTTCCTTGAACAACAAATTCACTTCGAAAAAATCCTGTCTAGATTCTCACGATGCTCAAGCGATTTTTTCCGCGTAAAACGTAACAACGGTTGCCATATCCTTTTAAAGACGAGTGTCTCTCGTTGGGTAGAGCATGTGGTCTATCAGACACACGGATGGATCAGGGTACGAGCTCAGAATCGACGTATTATTATGCTGAATAGGTCACACTGTAATTCACGGTTTGGGCGACACACTGCTCTGTGTACAGGGCTAGATCATCCAGAAGACCCGCATGCTTCACGTCTGCCATCTATGTGTAGTCAGATTTATCAAATGTGACACGGAAAGTCGTTAAATGATCGGAATATTTGAAAAGTCTATGTGCTTTTCCTACCGGTAGATGATAGCAATTAGCACGGACGACAGCCATGAGCCAAAAAAATCTGCATTTTAATGTCATTTACCGTTATAAGGGGGTAATATTATTAATCAAATATATCCCAATCGATCAGTTGTAAGGTAATATATGATATTTTAAAAATGGAATCAGTAGTGAGAATTATAAGTGCCCTTGACTTAACGTAGGTAAGGCTTTAAATCAGTATGTTTCAACAGTACCGCATCTTCCCAAGAATTGGCTATATACAGTATATGAAGTTGATTAAGGCCCTGGCCGGCCACTCGAGTCCACCAATTTCTATATTAGGATTCGGGATAGGACAGAAACAATCAAATCGGAGTAAAACGTTAAATCACATAGTTCACATACATAATGCTTACTTGTTATTACGCTGCCTAGAACATTTGTCCCGTCCGCTTCGTCGACTTTTTTTTGTGTTTACGTAGTAGATCGCGTCATGCACTTACGTTTCTTTAGGCAAACGCAAACTTTTTATACGGAATACATCATTTTTTCAACATAAAAAAATGTACTTATTGAGGCAGAATTTCAGCCCTTCACTTCATAGAAAAATCGTTGATTACTAAGTCATAAGCTCAGATGACTGACGTGCTAATATTCACGCTCGTCTTACACAGAGTGAGCTATGATTTAGTCACTGCAGCGTCCGAAAGGTATCTATTATTGAGCAATAGTCCGGAAAGTGTTACGCCTACCGCCAAATGCCGTGTCGTGTACGACGCTACAATTTTACAAAAATTCTATTTAGCTCTGATTTTAAGTCAGTGACAATTAGAAATAATATCGCAGCTAGAAGTCTTACAATGATGTGGTCCTCGAACTATCTTAACGAAGGGTCCACAGCGTTTCTACCGCCTCTACTCCCCAACAAGGCTCTATTCCGTATAAACCCATTACTTCGACTTGGCGCATCCTAAGACTGCTTGCCTTTCATATTTTCCGACGATAAGTTCGACCTCATTTTACTGCTGTTTAAACAGAATAAATCAGGTTTCAGATAATAAATCTTATTAAATAAAATAAATCAGAAAATCTAGTAATATCTTACCCACGTATCTATCCGATATACAAGTGTGTAGATTTTTTATCAAACTCCATCATATTAATAGTTCAGACAGACTACTGTGTTTATACGCTGCATGGCATTACTACATGGGACCATTAATGCTAAAGGTCAGGAATGTAATAAAATTAAAAAAGCCACAATTACACGTTTATCAACCCTACAATGCACGCTCTCCCAAAACTTCAGACCCGTACGACGCAAAAATTTTGAACACCAACTCTGGCTGATTTGTTTGGTCTTAACCAATAACGAACTAACAAATAACCCCCAGCTTCAACAAACTTTAACGACTGCTGCAATCGTAAAACTAATACGTTTCGATTCTGCCAGTTCATTTCATGTCGTGATCAAGCAGATTGATCGTTGACGACCGTTCGGGAAGAACGTACAGTATGATGCTGTGGCGTAGCGTTTCTCAGGCCGCCGTACTTCTTAGTGTCTTCATCGCGTTTATCCTCATTCTTCTCCTATTGCATCCGGCTCGGCCATTAATCGGTGGATATCGTGGAGGCAATGCGGCAAGCGTCCACTTTCGCGACGGCATGCACAATGTGAACATTACTAATCCCAGCCACTTCTTTGTGAATCGAGGTAGCAGTTATTTAAGAGAAAATTACGCGCGGAACAATTGTTTATTGTATGTGTTCTTACATATAGTAGGCTGCGTTTTTTTCAGTCATCACGGTCACGTGGTAACTATTCATTTACGCAAATAGTTAAACACTTAAAAAAGACATGTTACAATCGACCGTAGAAGAGATCGCACGTAAACAATATTTATATATATATATATATAACGGTTTACTCAGTGGAAACAACTGCAGGCTAGAAAAAATTAAGCATCTTGTTGTCTCGGTTAAATTAAGCAGTACAGGAAGTACTAAATAAGGACGCAGAACTGCTATAACTATGTGAAGATAAAAAGTTAGGTGCGATCAGCGGTCGTTGTATTCTTGGTATTGCCTATCGCAATAGCTGTTTCTAATAGAAGAAAATCTTCGTTTCAATGACGAATTGATATGCCTTACGTTTTTCAGTTTACAACATATGTACACAATTTATCAAAAATCAATTTAGTTAATGTTCTTTGCATCGTCGTTTCATGATCCAACGGTCTATCCGCAACATTTGTTTCCGTTACTAAAAACATACGCCTTTACAGCAGCTTTGGCCTTGTCCCTGAAGGAAGCTGCCCGTGATTACGACGAATACTCGTTAAGGCTAATGAATCACACCGGTATCCCCTTTTTTCGACGAAACAAGGTAGTGCATTGATTTCGGAAATTCGAGTCACTGCAACTGACTTAGATAGTGGAAATTGTAAACAATAACAAACAATAACAGCCCGATAATATATTTATCACGTTTCTTGTGTGGAAGCATCGAAATTATAACATCTCATTATAGATATCGGGATATTTTCTGATTTCGTTTAATGGGAGAGTGTTCTCCTGAGGACGAACGTTTGAAAATTAACCGAGCCAGCATGAGGAATATCAAATTTGTGATCAACGGTAACATTCTACCATCGGACCACAATGATCAATTCTGAAATACTTTAGATACTCAATATGTGTTCGATTTCATAGAACCAAAGCTCAAGCCACCTTCCCTTCATAACTGTTAAAAAATACATCTTGAAAAAATTATACGTCTGGCCTTTTACATATATTCCATATTTATGTGTTACGGCCTTAAAATGGACGAATTCTCTTGTTGAAAGCGCCTTGCGCCTGAATCCTTGCAAAATAATTTGGTAGCTTGAAGTAGCTTACCCCTGTGGATTTGTTGATATCCCCTTTCCAGGAATGCAGCAATCTTAATGTCCTTCAATATGAACGGACATAATCGTTTTAACGTACGTAACGTTGAAATACAAATGAGGAGGCTTCTAAGATACGATTCTATATACCATACGTAATCCACGAGAATATGTTCACATGTACTTGCTAGATGCCAACGTGTGCATGCAAATGGGGAGCATTTCATCGTATATATATATATATATATATATAAATTTCGAACAGTGACATTAGTTATCAGATACCAGCCACGATACCAACTCATATTGCGAAGGCTCGCCTCTACTGCTGTGGTTTACCTAACGTGTCACTCCCGGAGTCGCCTTGGGATACAGAACGAACACAATTTCCCAGAATTTTTTTTTAGATATATCGGATTTAATCGCCAGAATGCCGCATTCGTTCATCTGTGTCGTTAGTTATAGGATGCCAAGTCCTATAGTTTTTGTTTTTAATGCACACCCAAACAAATCACCTGCGTAGAGTCACAGGAAAGTCTGCGTTTAGCAGACTTTTCCTTCAGTCGCTTCAGCGATACAACTTCGCAATGGCAGGTGGCACCGTCTCGTTACAACCCACTCTTACTCAAGTTGAAATTTTTCGTTACCTACAAAAACGGCACTTTTCTGTATCAACGACCGTTAACAAACAAGCAAGCAAGCAAACAACGCTCTGTTCCAGACCCGTTCCAGAGCCTCGCACTGAAGGTCTGCCTACTTTAGCTTCATAACGTGGCTGTTCGTATATGGCATAAGGGTACCCTTGTGCTTATATGCGGCAGATATATATGCACTGTTCCAGTACAAAGTGTCAACCAACTAAGAAATCACATAATTTGAATCGCGTCGCTTCGGTTCACGTAACAAACATAGGACGCTTCACCTGACAGGCCGGTTTGAGTTCCTCGTTCTGCGTTCTTTGTATACCGCATCAGGTACTATTGTTTGATCTGTCGAAATATTCGCTACTTCATTGAAAATGTTCCTAGACAGATTTTTGTGACTGCTAAGGCAAGAAGCGAAAAATACATACGTAAATTGAAAGCGTTTCACAGAATGTTGCGCGAAATCCTAAGAAGTGCAGCATGGCTAATGTATAGCGTACCATATCATCGTAAACACAGGGTGTTGGAACGAGCGCTCTTGCAAAAAATGTCGATGATCTTAATTCTCGGACTCGAACTATAGTAAAGTTGAACCCTCCGTCGCGTCCGTGACTCGCGCGTGCACGATAGTAGTGCAAACATTAGGATATAGTTACATAGAGAATATATGTATATATATATATATATATAATTAAAATATCTATTGCTAAAATGAAGCTGAGCTGTTTGTGCTGCTTCAGAATATGCAATTTTATTGCGTTATATTAATATTTAGATTAACTTAATAACTTACGCTGCAGTTAGCCATGAGAAACCTGAAGGCCAGATTTTGTACGTTCGGGATGTTGTGCGTGCGCGACCTCAGTCAAGCAACCCTGCTATTCTGTTATAGTTTGTTATCAGTTTTTTCTTCTATTTTCCCATTGATCTTTGACATTAAAAACGTATTTTCTATCTGACAAAAACGGCTGGTTACATCAGTGAGTCGGACCGCGGTGCAAAATGAAAAAATTACAATTTTCACTTTTCTCCTATTCATTACTCTTACCGTTTGAGTGACTATGTTTTTACGCTTTGGTGCAGTACTTGTTTAATACGTTATAATAAAGTTAATATTGTTCGAATTAAAACAAATTAGAAGATATTGCCAAACAAATAGTACGCCAATAACAACGGCACCCCTACTTATTTACTAAGTTCGGTTAGTGAGTTAAAACTTTAATGACGTTTCAGGCTGACGTACAGCCGCGGATGCTTCTTCTGACAGATCTCAATGAACCAAACCCTGTAACTAGCCCACAGCAAGTTTGTATCGCTGCATATGGTAAGCATGCTTTTTGCTCTCTATAACTTTTTAGCTCCTCTAAGAGACCTTACAATTCACTGAAATCGTTCACAATTCTGTTTAATCATGATTATCTTTAAATGAAACCTACAACCGTCGAACTATAAACGTTATCGCTTAATTTAAAAGTTTTCAAAATTTAAAAGTTATAAATATTCTTCAGTTTCTTAAATCGTATGAATATATACCTTACACAAATCTTCTTACCTCATCAAATACATCACCCTAAGTTAGTATGCGCAACTTTTATAATCCGTCAAACAATACTGGATACTAAGTAGTTTTCCTACAAGGAAAACTAAAATAGATTGTGATGGAGCTGTGTTATTTATAACTTTTCTTGTCATAATAAAGTTCGCTATATTTTTAGCATTTACTTGTATAAATGGGTTGGGATGCAAAAAAGGGCGTCATGCAGTATGCCACAAAGAACTAAAATTACGTTATTTTGTCATTTAATCTAAATAATCGAAAACGTGTAATTAACCTAACTATTCGAATACGTAATAATAACTTTAGCTCTGTTTTGCGCTTTCAGGTACCTTGAGTGATTTGCATCATGCAGTGGAACTTTCTTGGTTATGGAAAACCTCACCTGTATCCGTGGCTATCTTTGCTGCACCAGGTGAATTCGATGTTGCGTTTATCTTAAATATGTTGCCTAAGTCTTAAATACTTAAGAAATATCTTGGTTACTTTCTGCATATCCACCTCAAGGATCAAAATCAACTGCACTGGCTAATTTTTTAGGTGAAGCTCATTTGGTGCTGGAGTATCTTCAGTACCTCAGTACATGCCATCGCGGGGTAAGAGCCCATTTTAATTTCGATCTTCTCGTTGCCCATCCGGAGGACTTACAGCAAAAAGAAGATGAAGCCTTTTATTCAAAGTTTGCCTGTGAAGAGTATCGTGAGGCTCTTTCGGTGAGAACAAAGAATTTATTATTTCTTAATCTTATTTCTTGCCACCTATCCATTATGTGCTATGATTCTCCTCGTTCAAGGACCTGTTAGCTGGCAACGGCACTTGCGTAAAGATAGATTTTTCAAAGGCCCTAGAGCTCTCCTACCTAAATTTATGCCCCACAAGTTCAAGTGACGAAAGTAATGTGCCTGAATCTGAAGAATGTATTAGGCTGTTAAATTGCTTCTTCTGTTTTAACTTCTGCAGTACCAACTTTCGCGGCGGTCGAAATCACTGAAAAGAGAAGAGAATGTAGATTCATTACCCGTCAATGAACTTCGAAATATTGGCCAACAAAGCTGCCGGCGCGGTATGGGCGCTCAGATCGGCCTCACGCTTCCTCTAGGTGCCATGCCTCGTCCTGGGCTGGATATCGAACTTGCGTCTTTTCTAGCCAGACTTCGTACGACAAGCTCATCAGGCCAGACGTGCGATAAGTGCATTTACGTTATTCCCACCTTCATCTGTGAGTCATGAGCAGAATCTGGTAAAATGTGTCTATATATATATATATATATATATATATATTAGCTTTAGTTAAGGATTATAAACGCCATTTGTGAAACGTTACACGTGATTTTCTACTGTTTACATCCCGCAGCCTCCCAAAGTCTAAAGGTGCCCCGAACTAAAGCTGCTGTAGACGCACTTGTTACACAGGATCGTCTCATGCCCGATGACGAACTCACGTACTGCCGATGGACAGCTTTTAAAGGCAACTCCGTAACAGCTAGTGGCAAAGGTGGGGCTAGCAGTCCAAATATCACACTGACTTACCAGGTAAGAGATACTATACAATTAAATGATTTCGACTAGCACCATAAATAGAATGATGGTATTACTCTTAAAAGAAGCCGACGCACAATTCAATAGGTTCTGAACACTGGATAAGGAACATGTAGCACTACAATAGAATAATATTAAAAATGTATGTCTTATTTTTAATAACATTTACAACCTGGTTTATTTTCTATGATTCCAGCCAACACCGAGGTTCTTTAAGGCTTATGTTGCTCCACTTGATCTGCCCAGGTTAGCATAATCAATTTTTTGTTGAAACAAGCCCCCCCAACCGGGGTGCTCCGCCGCACTGCTCGCACACTCCACTCGCCAATTTGTGTTTTTTCGAATTTTAATCATTTCAGGATGGACACGCGATTCAAAGGTGTCGACGCGCCGCCGACCCAGCTCATCGAGGCCTATCTACAAGGCTATCGATTTTGGGTTCTTAGCGAGGCTTTTATCGTTCGAAAGGTGTTTGGGCATCGGGTGTCGAAGAGCGTTTCGTCAACATCAATGAAGATCAAACTGATCGAACGTTCGGCAACGCAGGCCGTTCAAAAATTGCCCAAAGGATCGACAGCGGCTTCCGTTGTTGGTGACCCGACCGCCGCCGACGGAAGCAGTGCCGCTGACAGATCTGAGAAAAGCGCTATATTCAACGGTACAAAAGCAAATGTTTCTCATAACAATTCGCAGTTTGCACCGTCGCGGAGAAATACATCGGCACTTAATACAGATGCAACAAACAAATTCAAGGAAGATCTCCGGCGAAAATATCCTTTGATAGGCAAAATCAACTGGACTAAAGATGAATTGGTGCTCGAGGAAAGAAAAACATAGATCGGAGAAGAGAATATTTGTTAATGGCCAATTATATTCCGTGATAATCTGAGCTGCACTAAGCTGTGATGAGGAAAGAAGATCTGCGTGTATATAATCTGTAAATAATTAAATAAGTAATGCGGGATGTTTCTAATTAAGAGAAATACGTATTCTGTAAATGTAACTCATCGTTGCCACGTATAGTAAATGATAACAAATGCAATAGAAATTCGGACGTTGTGGAGGCGCTCTTCGGTTTCAAAATAAAGCCTGCATCATTAGAAGCTCTGTGTAGTCCCTAATTTTAATTTTCGAGTGGAAACACCGATTCTAGAATTAATAATAGAAATCGTTGAGTAACTAGAAAATGTCTAATTTGTGTTAATTAATTATTAATTAATATTTACGGTTCCTAAACTTCGCTGATTGGTTGGTATAGAAAACAATTGCCTGATTGCGATTGTTATAAGCCTTGATATGGAGATCTTACAGTGGATTCCTGCACCTTGTATTATATAATAGCCGTTTATTTATAATACCACGCACGCAGGTATATATCTGTCCTTCGTCGAGGTCTTTGACCGTTGTGACCAACTAACTGTGACCGTAGCAACAGTACTCACACTTTCGAACTATCGCAACGTTACGGGTGTTATGCTTATCCAACTCTATACGTTTTTTTACCGATTGTATTTCCAGTAGATCAATTTTGTAAATATAAAAGTTTAATTCATTTCAGGCAATACGCACTCCAGTATATCGTTCCTATTCCTGAACGAGAAGCTCATAAACTTTTAAGAGCGCTGTTGTTCCTGCACATTTCCCGGTTGTCGGTCCAGCAAAGCTTTGCAGGAATGGCTCAACAGGTAAATTTCGTTGATTCGCCGTTCCACTTGCTAATAATGGCCATCTCTTCACTGCCTTCACTGTTACTAATATTCGAGTATCTATGTAGGAGGCCGATGCTTTTCAATTAACGCTGCCAATATTTCGATAACGAACGACGCTTGCTTTCTACGGGTGTTCAACATGAACCTCAACAAATGAAGAACCTGCGCTATACGCAGCTTCACAAAATGCAAAGTGGGCACTTCATAATGATACATGGATGAAAAATTGGAACGTAGTCTATTTTACGTGCGCATTAGCTTTCAACATGGGCGAGCTAAACGACCATATATGTCAAAACTTCCCTTGCATTGGACCCCAACATTAAAACGCCTACTTTAGACGAATACGAAGCAGTAGTTGCTTCTGCGCAATACGGCGACAACGCAGTCAAATTAAATTGATTTTACAGTGTACTTTATCGAAACCTTCAGGAGTAGTACGCGGAAAGCGGGTTAGTTTCGACTCTCTTGTTTATTATCGTTGTTTTGGAGGAGAGAGGAAGAGATGTGAAGTAGGGCTTACTGGGCATCTCTTGTTTGTTCAAGGGCTTCAAGAAAACTGGTTAAAAAGGGTCTAGGAGACGTGGGGGCCAAGCTGCCAAACTTAGTCTGCTTAGTTCCACATCAATGAGGTCCGTGAATGTCTTGCCGGGTTTCTAGTGGCCGCAGTTTGATTGTGGCGCCAGGGCAGGCGGCGCCGTTTGGGCTTTTTCCCTTTGTCTGCTCACTTTGAGCACGCTATTAAGGCAGACGTGCGCATCCACCAAACTGCAGTAGCTTAGGCAGCCATTAAAATGAACCACCGATAAATCAAGCATTCGATAAAGGCATTAGCGGCGAGAATTTTTTTTGTCCTCTTAGCCGGCGACTTGGTGGTTCGTAAGTTCGTGGCTTTTGTTTTTCTTTAGCGACTGCAAAGCCGACAGGTAGATGGATGCAATCTGTCCTGATAGAACAAAAAAGAATAAAAGAGAGGTAGCTCTTAGCGCATATTCAATGTATATATAGTTCTTTCAATGGAGATGGATTAAGAAGGCATGGCTAGTGCCAACTAATTACGCGTTACCTCTGAGCGTTAGGTATAGATAGGATGCTCAACTTAGCGCAATTTTCGAGACGCTAGAGAATGTTGCAGGAAATGGCATCAGCTACTTTTTCACACGGACTTCAGATGCGCCAAATAATTAGCAGCGTCAAAGTTTAACGAAGTAAAACCTAGAAAATAGCTTCATCAAAACAATTAGCTTGACAAATTTACGCACAGCGGACATATCTGATTTACGCTTTCCATCGAGTCGGATAGTTCTCCATCAGTTACGCTGTACATACACACGCATGCGCACATACTTGAACACATAAACACATCCGTTGCTTTCTAACAGAAGTAAGGTTTTTTCCAGTGTATTGTTTGCTCAAGCGCGAACCCTCAAGACTGTCGTTGCAAGTTAGAATGTTCTCCCGAGCCTGCACAATGCACATATGGAGGCACCGGTGGAGCTTTCATTTGTAAGGGGTGATGATACCTAGCACATAAAATGAGGGCAGAACGGGGTTTTCGGCCAGTGGGTTCTGAAGAAAAGAATTATGAAAAGGCTTATTGTCAGACATGTTTGTCCGCAGTGGGCCTATTTATGCCTCTGCATTAAGCTCGACGAACCCCATTATGGAATTCCATAATGGAGTTCGTCCAATCGTCCAGGGCTGGGTCGGTTTCCTTTTGCGCCGATGAGCCGGATGAAACTCTCAAACGAATACTCGAAAGTATTGATATACGAGTATAGCAGTATATGAACAGCTCTTGATTGCTTCCGCAGATAAACCAATATTCAATCTATTAAAAGCCTCGTCCGTTTTTCCTTCGCATTTGTATGTGCGCACGAACCAGCACAAGAGAACTATCAGAAAGAAGAAGTGATGTAGTTTTCAGCTAAAGTAATAGCTTGAACCGCAGAACAGTAGAGTAAACATTGCTCTGCACGTGAAGACCACGCACGAGATGGGCAGGAAATTGCGCCCGTGGTCCTTAAAAGGCGTATTGATGTAGCAGCTACAGGCTTGGACGGAAGGAGGTGATATCTTTGTTTAAATTAAATGTTTACGCTCATTGAGCATCATTGATTTATAGGAAAAGTCGTACGTCTCGGATAAGCGCCGATTATCAGAAAGTCAGCTAAAATAAGGATAATTATGGGAAAAGGTTCCATTGTGTTAGTTTTTATAGAATCTGGTGGTTAATATCTGGTAATATAATAATAATATAACGATAACGCCAGCGAATCGCGTCGAGTGTAGAAGTCAAGTAAACGCATGAAGGCTAAAATGAACTCGTGGCTTCCGAGAAATATTCTGCAACGCAAAGAGTTGGCGAAACACTCGCGAGAGAATTTTGCTCATACGTTGACCAATAGTAATTTTTTTAAAATATAAATAGGCTAAACATTTTCTTCAGGGCTAATGATTCAAGATAAAATACAAGCAAGTATGTTTTCTGCTTAATTCGCTGGGATTACTGTTCATCGAAACTACGATACGTATTTGTTAGCTGTGCCGTACTATTGAGCATAGTCGTTTTGTATGCGTCAAACGTATTGTATATCCGCTTTTTCTGCGAAACCACGTCAGGTATGAGCGCCGTATAATAAAGTGTGCTCAAAGTACACATTATGGGCTCGCCTAGTACGCTATATATGTATATATATATATATATTTTGAGACTTAATATAATTATCATCAGTAGTATTTGTAAATCTTACCGGTGACGTAAATCAAAATATGCATTTCGTATCGTTTATCAATTCGATCTGTAAGGTTTTCTTTCCATTTACTTATGATCTCGGAAGTTCCTGTCTGGATTTAACTCGTCTCCAGTCCTTAGTGTCCTTCAGTACTTTTCGCTAGAGCAATGTTTCAAGCGGAAAGGCTTGTAAAATTTCCATCCTATATGTCCGCTTTCCTGCATTATATGTCGCTGTGGCTTGTCTTGCGCGCCGACGGGGTCAAATTTGCCGACAGCTCTCAGATTTCGCTTACACATATAAGACCAACTCTCATATCGTCTTGAATTTCCAATTCGTAGTAATGGAAACAAAAAAAACCGAAAGTACGATACCAGAGAAGCGAGTAAACAGGAACGGAAAAAACTATGCACCGAGAGGCGAAGCGACAGAGAAATGGTCTTTCATCACGAATTACTCTCCGAAGCCCCCACCGTTAAGGTTAGGGGCAAAGGAGCAGAGGTAATGATTCTTTCAGGAGTTCCTCAACCGCGCTACCGTTTGGCACAGCCACGTCGTACAGATCCTATTTCATCAAAAGGCAACAAGTAAGATCACTGTAATAGATTTTCAAGTTGAACCTTGAAGATCTACAAGCGCGAAGGGGGCGAAAAACCAGTAGGCATCACGAGCCACTGAGGCTCCTCTGCTACTTGGGTTATGCCATACGAAACGGCCATGATGTGGTCGTATTGAAATGAATTCGAGACCATTCAAGATCAGGGTCCACCTCACCCAGGTCCTTTTGGACGTCCTGCCATCAGCACTACCGCAAAAGTCACCAATGCCGCCGTTGCGTGTCCTGAATGAAATAAAACTCCACTGTGAAGCCGTACAGTGGCTGGCCGGAAGCCGGGTTTATGCTGGGAACAGGACATGATTTCAGTTTGGCCTAACCGAGGCTGCCTGTAGTGGAATGCCCTTGTTTTTGCAGATGTACCGTATATTGGATATGAGTGGGTGGTGTTGTGTAATAACGGCTGATATGTCAAGGGAATATCAGATGACTAATTCAAAGACGTATGTTCCTTATTGGCTTGAGTGTAACCGATTTTAGACTTGCTGTTGCACGGTGCCCACTTCCATAACAGTAACAAGAACAATTTACGGAATTAACTATTTGTAGAGAGGTAATAAGAGCGGTAGATAGATGCCTTGGACTTTCGTGTACCGATTATTAGATCGATAAGTTCGGGTTACTTATCCAGAAAGTGCTTCGTAATAACCCTCAGAAATTTCATTTTGTCGTAGCTGTCATTGTTACCATTAGCTGAGACGATCAGTATATAATTTGCAGTAGACCTTAAATCGAACTTTGGTTTTCATTTTTGGTACGGCCGTAACAATGGCAGCAGTAACTCTAAGGTATTACTATGTTAATTATCGAATTATAAGACGATTATCTGATCTTTGACTGTCGAGTTGACGGCTCATGTGTCCGCCTGAAACAGACCCGGACCAGAAGCTTCAGCGGATCCGTGATCGGAATGGGTCGAACGGGCTAAATCGAAGCATTTCGCGGAAAGAAAGTTCGACTACAAATAAGTTCGGATGATACTAATTCGATGAGACTGAAAACGATTAGGAGAGGACAGACAGA